CTATACCTTAACCTTCTAGTTCCCCTGGTGTTTCCAAGCATATAAAATATGTCAATGCAAAATTTATATAATAAAATATTAAGTGGTAGTGCTACAGGACATCTTTCCCTGTTGCTGACACCGGTGGAGGCCTGTGGCCTTTCCTTCCAGCTGTCATGTAACCAAATTGTAACTAACAGACAGACCCTGTGAAGGCAATAAAAATGCTTTCTGGATTCTTTTTTACCCATTGGATTACTACAAAGGAAATGCTGCACAGTCCTTTGGCTGTGCACTTCTTAGGGGTTGGGGGCATGTGCTTTCCCTCTGAAAGGAAACCTACAATCATTTCGTGTTTCCACCTTAATTAAACAGATATCATACCTCTCACCTTCTGTCTTTTAAGTTATGTTCATCCTCAGCAGAATGAACCTTGACCATTTGTGTTTTACTAAGATGCTGGAATGCAAAGGTTGTTCTGCAACTTGTGTGTCACACAGGAGAAGGTTTGAAGCTGTGGAGGGCTGTAACCTGTAGTGCTATAGAAGTATTAAGTAGAGTCTTGAATATGTCTTGGACTTGGATATGGGATAGGACTGTAACCTGTGCTGTGGAATTATGCTGGGAAGTAAATGTTAGGTCTCTGATGCTAAAGTGGCACCAGAGAGCTTCAGGCACAATCCTTAGCAGTGAAAAACAGAGGGTTTAAAAGAGCAAACTGTCTTTAAACAAAGTTGAAGATAAAGCCTCTGGTGACTGTGACCTTGTTACTCAGCGTGTTTTCCAGTAGGAATTGATAGTTTCAGGGATGTGTTTCTTTGAGAGCTTAGAATCCCAAGGAAGGAGGCACCCATGGGAACGTTAACAATGTTCTGCATGGAAAACGAGATGTGAAACAGAACTGGCAGAAGAAAGAATGAAGTGGTCTAGCAATTATCTAAATGGCTCTTTAATTTTAGCCCTTCAATATTACTGCTTGTGAATATTATTTCATTCGGTGGATCATGGATTTCTTTCAGACTTGCAATACATGAAACCTCGGGGGTAAATGGAGAACCAGGATAGGAAGCTGTGGGAAGTAACAGCAAGCCTGTTTGTTAGTAAATGTTTCTGTGCAAGAGGCAGCACCCCCACATGAGAATTTTTTAGATGGTACAAAAACCTAAAAGTGATGAAAAACAGCCCTCTAATATCACTGTGTTGCATATGGTTAAATTGTTCAGAAAGCAAAAAAATATATAAGGACATATTTTAATGATCACTTCTAGATGTTTCAGTTTGGGAATTTAATATGTAAGGTTGGCAACCCAGTGTCTGTCTGAATTGCAACTGAATCCCACGAAATGTGTGTTTGTGTTGAAAGATGGTAGATGGTTTCACTCTAGCAGTTCAGTAGGTCTTGTTTTAACAAGTTTCTGATTTGCCTCACAGAAACTTCCAGATTCTGGATAGGTAGAATACTTACTGATTTCACTGTGTGATCTCACTTTGACCACATTCAAGACTAAATGAGGCAGTGAGGCTAAATTTCTGCTACTTGTGACATATCTACATTTTTCAGTGGGACGTTGAATGGGAGTTGTGTTGGGACAGTATTCTGACTCCTCTTGCAGGAAATGGTTAAAAAAGAATTTCTGCACATCTGAAAAACTAGTCAGAAGAGGAGTTTGTTGTTTTGTCTCGCCTGCCTGATTGTGGATTAGGCTTTGGGCTGTCTGCTTTAAATATCAGCAGAAATGAGTTCCCTTTATACAGGCAGAAGACAAAAAGTCTCTCTCTGCAAAAGCTGGGGAACTGATAGCAGCACTGCTTTACAGCTTGTGGGTATTCTCTTCATTTGTGTTCTAGCATGCAAAATTTAAATCAAAACTTGTCTTTTTAAGAAGCAGTACTATGTTGTTTATTAGCTATAATGTCAATTTATATTTGTTATATCAAGTTTTGTTAATGTATCAGTTGGAATTGTTAAGATCATCTAGAGCAAGCTCTCAGTTTTGATTTTCTTTCTAGCAAATGCAGAATAACTGCTGTTATTGTGCTGAGGAGGGAGACTGAGATGCAAAGTATTCAAAAGTCTGGAAATGCTAAACATTACAAATGCTGTTGTATTTTACAACAATTTCTTTTAATTATTAGAAATTTTTAATTGTTATGTTTATGCTTACTGCTGAGTGAAATTTTTGGAAGTTGGGCTCCTGGGCTGAGGGAACAGTTATTTGCTGGAAAATAGACACTTCCAGCAAAAGAAAGCCCATAATTAGGGCACATACAGATTTTGTCCTGCTGTAAGTCTGTTGGTAGAAATGCATTCTGTTGAGAACAGTGGAGAATGAGCCAGTTCATTCTGTACCACCTTTGGTGTGATCCCTGAAGGACTCAAATTTCCAGGGCTGCTGGAAGGCGACAGCACTGTAAACAGGCTGGCTTTCTGTGATTAAAATTGTATAGCTAACTGCACATAGGAATGTGTTCTCTACCACAGAAGTACATAAATCTATGGGGTGTGCAAACAGGTTTCATTCGGAGTTTTCTTACGCATTTTGTAAAACGTTCATGTAAAGATGTGTTGGATTCTTGTGTCCAAGGGAACTATTATTCTTTTTAATGTGTCTAAATGAAACTTCTGCCTTCAAAGATTTGAAGTTTGTAGTTTTCAGAGATGAATTATGACAGTAAATTCCTTATTCTAAGTTGCTTCTGCTACAGCTAGTATTTAAGTGCAAAAATATTGAGAAGTATTGCAAAACCAGTCTTTTTTCAAAGATTTCAAAGAAGGTGGGACTTCTTCAACAGTTCTGGTGCATTAATGCATAATATAAGCCTTATTCCTCTTACCATATGTAACCTGGTCCCCTTGTAAACTGAAAACTCCATGAACTAACTTGAATTAGAATATACCATTTCAAAATGAAGAGATCTGCTTGTGCTAGTGAAGCTACCAGAAACACATCCTTTCTCTAGATGAGACTCTCTTCTACCTCCACAATCATGGGACTTAAGTAATGTATTGGCTTTAAACCTTAGTGCAAATATGAAGGTTTTTCTGTCAGAGTCCCTCCTACTAGTTTGGTGCCTTGGAAGCAAATCTCAGTAAGTAGCAGTCCTAGAAGATGATTTAATTGCCCTGTCTCAGCATGAAGGAGCTACAGAAAAAAAAAAGCACCCTTGTTTAGTCTGAACTTTGCCTTGATTTTTTTTTCTAAACATTCTTAGAGGAACTCTGCTCTCTACTTTCTTTTTTGCCTCCTTCCTAATCTCTAAAGATAATTCTCCCATGATCCTGAGAGAAAATTATTTCTGTAAACGGCTGGTGGTTTTGGATCACAGTAACATAATGACTTGAGGGAAATCAGCAATTTCAGTGACTTAGATTTTCAACCCTTGCTAGAAAATAACTAGTAAAAATATTTTCATGGTAACTTTTCTGTAATTTCATTAAACCTAAACAGTATGTATGTGTGACTTTTAGAAAAAGACATTCAATAATATTCATGTTGGATATCGTGCATTTTCTGTTGCACTTTGCTCACTAAACTGTGCTTGATGCAGTTTCCTAACAGGTATATAAGTGTGATAGTTAATAATTTGGAGTTGTTGGAGTTGGGTAGTTTGTCTTTACTTATTTAAGAAAAAGTAACAAATCATGGTGAAATGTTGAACATGTGCATTGAATTGTTAACACAGGAAAATTATGATTGTGTTGGATTGCATTTGTAGCAATTTACGTATTTTCTAAAACTGGATGGTGTTTCATGTGAGAAAGAGAAGAAAGCAATTCTGTGTCCTTACAAGATTCCCTTTTTCAAACATCCAAGGTCATTCTAAGCCAAACAGTGGAGCTGTGGCTGTGGCTTCACAGAGGGAGCTCCTGAGCAGCCTAAATGGGGGGTTCTTGTCAACTCATCCTTTACAATGTTAGGATTTGATTAAGGTTCTGGAGTCTCTTTTGTATTTTGAATACAGTGGGTACACTGTTTTTAATTTCAGTTGCATGTTGAGTATTTCCAAAGTTGAGAGATTCCCCAACTTCCCTGGCCAACTTGTTGCAGTTACACCACCCTCATTGTGGTGTAATAAAAATTTCTTGTGATTTTCTAAGAATAGTTATTTGTGTCTTTTTTCTGTCTTATATTTCAAAGAAGTAGTCGAACATAAATAAGAAATAATTACAGGCATGACCATCTTTATATTGTTTGAAATGTAAGCCAAAGTATTTTTATTTGAAAATACTGCCTATTACAGTACCTGCTTATTCTTAAGTATACTTTTATTCCTTTAAAACTTGCAAAATCTGTAAGATTTGTATGAAAAAGAACCTAGTTTGAAACTGAAGTTCTTTTTCCTATTGTGTTTTACATAGTTGTATGGGTTTTAGAAGGGTTTTTTTTTAAAATAATGAACCTGGAAGGTTTACAATAGCCTTTTTAAATACATTGGCATTCATCTGTCTAGTGGAAGATACAAATAAAATAAGGGTACTCTTTTTTGTGAGCACCCATTCTTGGAAGGCTTGTTTTTCTCTTCTCCCAAGTCTTTGGCTTTTGTAGGGTTCTATCTTTAAGAGCATTTTCCCATATCCTGAGGTTTATTTAAATTACTGTTCAAAATGTTCAGTGGTTTGATTTATTGAGACAAGTGGGATATGCAGATTAATTTGTTTTTACAGCATAATGTATGATTTACAGCATTTATTCAAGATTCATAGGAACACTTCTAGTAGAAGAATATAGTTTCTGTAAATCTGTGGAAAAGGCATGGGAGGTTTGCAGAATCCCTTAACCTCTTGAACTTTCCCATGTCATCCTATGAACTCTGAATCTATGGCACTGTTCGAATCAGGAAATGTTTAAAAATGAAAAGCCAAAACCCTAAGCTGCTAGATTTTGTATACAAAACATCTGTGGGTTTTGCAGTTTAACAGTCATCCTAATCCTGGTAACATAGGCAGGCTATTGTAAGCACTCACCAATTTATTTTAAAGTAGCATATGATTTCAGTAGTTTGTTTTCTTGTTATTTCAGCTTTATGACAAAATAAACACAAAATCTTCACCACAAATCAGGAATCCTCCAAGTGATGCTGTACAGAGAGCCAAAGAGGTAATGGCTTTAAAATATATTGTTTTTACTTTGAAAGTTTGATTGCATTTTAAACTGGAACTTATTTTACTTCATTAAGATCTGCATTTTGGTTCATTATCTGTATTATTTTCTGGAATGCTACCATTGCTTACTGAAGTGAAGTAACAAGTTGTATAAACTTGCAGAATTCCATTATGTCTGTAAGGATTATGAATATTACTCAGTTTAATCATTTAACCTTTGTTACAACAATAGCAGTGTTAAAAGAAACCCTTCTGTTGGGTAATTGCAGCATATTTAATGTTCAGTTTGTTCATCTGCAGCAGAAGTTTGATGTTTATATGACTTAGTCACAAAAAAAAAAGTATCAGCTTTGTAAATTGAAAGAACAAGTTTATCTTAGGTCTAAGAAGAGCAGAAGAGGAATGCAGTGAGGGTGGCCCACTAAAACCAAAGATATATAGGCACAGATGTTCCTAATTTTTTATACCTGGCAAATAGTATTTTATTTGTTCATTATTGCAAGTATTAAAAAAAGAAGTTGTATTATATATTACCAGTAAAAATTAGTATGGTCATTTGGGGCAATGTCATAGGAAAATACTGTTTATAGTGGTATCGAAATAGAATGAACAGGAAGACTTTATAACTCTATGTAATAACTGAATTCACACTGATAGATATCCTGAAGTCCTGTTCTGCAAAACTTTCTGGCAGTTAATCCTGGGATGTGCTTCCAGAAGCAAAATAGTCTTTTCACATGCTTTTATTGTCCAAGCATGTGAAAATAAAGGTGTAAGAATCTGGTTGCAGGCAAAGGACTTAAAGCTCATTTACTCCCTACTCCTTCTCCAGTGATAAGATGACGTATGGCTCAGCTTTTTTAAAATCTGGAGCTTGGAGATGGGGTAGCAGATGGCCCACCTACACTTGGTGCCTCTTAACAATTAGTTTTATGAGTGTTTTTAATTCTGCTTTTAAACCGGTTGTTTTAATAAATTGAGACCATGTGCGAAAGTAACACCTGGTGGTGGTCATGTGTGTCACCTATTAGCACTTCATTTCTGTCTCCATATATTTAGCTGTTGGAGGAATACTGTCAATTTAAAAAAAAAAAAAGAACAAATGTTTCCTTCAAATTTCTGCTTTAATCTGTTTCAGAGAGAAAATTGGAATGAGGTATTTTATTCTCGCAGGGCAGGGGCACATTCTCCTAAGCCCTTTCCTGTCAAAAAATGTTGGTTTGTGTAATCATTTTGGAGATACTCTGACTGAGCAGTGAGGGCTTTCGTCTGTTTAATAACTTTATTTAAAAGAAAGTTACTAGGGGCATTTCTCCTGCTTATCTTGCAGGTATTGGAAGAAATTTCATGTTACCCAGAGAACAATGATGCAAAGGAGCTAAAGCGTATTTTAACACAACCTCATTTCATGGTAAGCAAATTCTACTGTTGTTGGTTTGTTGGGTGGGGTTTTTTTGTTTTGGCTTGGTTTTTTATGTTCTTTATGTTAAAAAACCTAAGTTCAGTACATTCTCCTTAAAATCTCTTAAGTGATGAAACTGCATACAATATACCTGTTAATAAGTGTTTCTAATCTACTGGTCTGGCAAAAGAATTACTATTGCTGCTACTGTTAGTCCTCATTACTGTGTTGAAAACTGTCAGTAGTTTGAAGTAATCTCATTATGGAGCAGTTTCACTGTCTTTTGGGGGAGCTGTGTTGCACATAGAAAGAAGAATGAATCCTTTTGGATATCCATAGGTAGAACTGGGATCCTCCTTTTACTTTTTCCCAAGGCCTTTTTAGAATAAAGGTGTGTGAATTCATTGCAAAATAAGTGTTTTTTTAATATTATTTTTTAATAAATTGATAGCTTGTACAGTCTGATGAGTTTGTGTTACTTATCAGCTTCTACTGTGTGCATTTCCCAAAACTGATTTGTGAGCAGTAATTGCCCTAAGTTCAGGGATGTGGCTGCTTAATATCTTGGTTCAAGTTACTGAAGTCCAGTCCAGTGAAAATACTTGAGGGATTTCTTTTGTTTGTGCTGTAGATCAAGTTCATAAGTTCAGAAATAAATGTGTTTGCTTAAATCTTCTATACACTCTTGTCAGTTGAAAATCATGAACTTGACTTTCCCTAACACAAGGATTATATGCAGGGGGCTTTGTGGAGTTTGCTCACCTGAAAGCTGAATTACTGTAAGTCTGAAGGATAAACCTAATTCCAGGAAAGAGTGAGCTGAAACCAACCTCCTACTCAGGTATCAGATGAAATCTGGATAGCTGCATGTCCATGTCCCAGTGTGTTCTTTTGATGGCCACTGTAGCTTTGGGTGCTTTTATTTTAGTACTTTAAATTGGATCAGGAGAGTGTTTTTGAAGTGAATCTCCTGATTGCCCTTACAGTGCTTTGGCTTGTGTCACATAAGGGTCTCAGCGTGCAAACTGACTCTTTTCAGACAAAATTACACTCAAAGATGTGTGCCAGGAGCCAGTGTAACCCAGCAGCTGATGGACATTCAGTCCACAGGGCAAGATGGAATAAGTAAAAACCCCTGCAATATGTTCAGTACATCAGGTCCTCACTAATCCAGTTGTTTTACTTTTGGATTCACTCCTATTTCATTGCACTAATTGCTAATGCAGACATTGCCTATTCTGTGTGTGCTCAGCAACACACTGATGCTATTCCCTGGAGATGGTATCTATCCTGAAGTTTGTAACAGCACTGGTTCAACATTTAACAGGAATACTTGCTTGAAATAGAACATAAAACAAGATGGAATGGTACTCAGCTGCACTGTAAGAAAGATTTAAAAAAACCTCACTGGTACTCAGCTTCTTTATCTGGAATCTGACGGGTTTGTTTGATTTACCTTTTTTTTGTGTAATTACCACACTGTTGCAAAACCATTAGGCATTGTGGAGAAGGAGCATTCTTTAAGTATAAATTATTTTTGAGCAGGCATCAGTAAAAATGATTGTGGTATATTGAAATTTCATGTATCAAATCAAGTGACAGGAAAATGAGTTGAAAATCCTCTTTTATAGCTCTCTCTGTTTCCTGATATCATAAATTTAAAACCATCTGTCAGAATTCTTTTGCTGCAATTGTATAAAAAGTGGGTTTTTATAAGGAATAAGCTGCAATTCCATAACAACTATTTTTGATGAGTAGTAATTTCAGCAAATTAGTCTATGGCATCCCAAGCTAAATTGCTGGTTTTTTGAAATCACATCATCCCTTCTTCCCATGTTTCATCCTCTCCCTTGCAGTTGTTCTGGCATTCACCTGAAACTGCACTTCAGCACTGTGCTAAACTAGTAGAAAATTGCTCAAAAAACCTCCAATCCATTTAGCAAAAAGAATTTAGGATAACAGGAATACTGCCAGAGCCAGAATGGGCATAGGAACAGAAACAGTTTGGGTTAGGGAGGAGTGTAAAGTAGCAGTTAAACCAGCAAAAGTTGGTGTGGATCCACACCTGTAGAGTGCAGATACCGCAGAGTCTCCAGATGTCAAAGGAACAACTCCATCCTCTCCCATCATTCCCACACCAGCTTCCAGATGCACCTTTGTGGGGGTTGCAGACCTTAACAAAGTTATGCTTGTGTTTGTTGTATTCTGCCAAACTTCCCTTCAGAGCCAAAGCCCTTAATATAGAGACTGTAAGGAAAGGGAGTAATTGTACAAAACAGTATTGTCAACCTACACTCCATGTGTTTGCCAGCAATTGCACAGGGCAATACTCTCATTATTAATGCACAGACACTGAAGCAATAAGGTGTAATAAGTAGGATCATGTGCTTTAACACCTGTATGATAACAGACTATTTTACTATTATTTATGTTATTATATAATGTATATCCCTAAGAAGACAAAAGAGTGTAGTCTGTCTTGTTTACTTAGCCACAGTGTTAGTGGGTTAGACTGTACAGGCCTTTACAGAACCAAAGGCAGTAAAATATGTGTTTTAACTGAGATCTTTGAGTTCAAGGGGTTTTGTTGTTTTGGTTTTCTTTTACCCTCATGCGTCTTATGGGTACAGGAATAAATTATTAATTTAATCTGTTCATACTTAACAATTTAAAGAAGTGTATGTAAATTCTGTATAAAGGTCTTTCAGCAGCTAATTAATTTAAGAATTCTTTAAAATACTATCAAATACCTCATTTGTTAAGTATGCATTTCAAGGAGCTTTTATTCCATTACACAACTTCCTAGTTTTTTAAACATTCCAGTTTCATCTCTAAAAGATTCTATTATGTATGTTTGGTATGTTGCAGCAATTTAAGCATTCGCTGTTCTAGGAGACTTTTACTTAATTACATACTGAAGTTTTATCCATCATCATGTGCCTTCCTACACTCCTCTCTGCAGACAGTGATCCTGCAATATGGTAGAAAGTACTTGTTCTCATTAAACTTATTTTTAGCAAGATTATCATATTCTGCAAAGGAAAAAGACAGGAAATAAAATCTAAATTATCAAAATTAACAGAAAACAAGTATCCTTAAGTAAAGTCAATAGCAATCTTTTGATTAAATGTTTCCTGTATTTAAATTGAGCTTGCTGTACTTTAATATCTGGTGTTTCTGAATTTGTGTTAATTTTTGTTAACACATTCAGAAGTCATCTAGTAAAATCAACCTTTAATAATGTTCAAAGTACCCTATTTTAAGCTCCTACAAGGTGCATATTATTGCTAAAAATAGTATCAAGCAAAGCAAATGCTTGATGTGAAACAAATGTAAGGCCCTGAATTACATAAGAAATGTAATTCTAAAGCATGGAGAGTGTAACATTTACAGGGGGCATAGAATCACAGAATTGTTTAGGTTGGAACAGACCTCCAAGATCATCGAGCCTGAAGTGCCAAGTCCACCACTAAACCATGTCCCTCAGCTCCACATCTGCATGACTTTTAAATACCTCCAGGGATGGTGAAGTTGAGTAAGTAGCTTTGAGTAGGTTGAGCTGAAGGAATCACAGGAGATAATCCTACTCTGTTACAGAGCCAAGACCACACTCACTCCTGCAATGGATGCTTTTTGTAACATCAGCTCTCGTCCTGTTTGGGACAACTGCAAACAGTTTTCAGATACTGGAATGAGAATTAAGCTAAATTCCTAAACCTTCATTGGAGTATTCACACATAAATTGACACCTAATTAAATAAGTCAAAATTTAAGTAAACCTTGCTAAAGTGGTTTAACTTATGTTAAGATCTTAATATAAAATGTTGCTTCAGTATTGCAGACCAGTGCAGAGGAATTGTTGCAAACTTTAGCTTAGTGGTTTTCAAAATAAGATGAAAAATAGAAAGTGCAGATACAGGTTAGTATTTAACTAAAAATAATAATTGTGTAGGTGAGCTTGAAAGACTAGAAGAACAGGAGGGAATGTGGGCAGAGCGTTGTTAGTTTAGGGAATTCCATTCCATCGTTACAATGCTGAATTCCCAACTCTAGTGAAATTATCTTTTATAACATGGTACACTTCAGAAGTGCTACCTTGGGAACAAATTTAGGATTTTGTAGAGGCCATTAAAACCCCATTTCTGCCTTGGGTTCCACTTCTACATCTTCTAGGGATTTTTCTGTACTTTTTGCAGTGTAAGTTTTGCATAAACACTTTAACTGAAGACTAAGATGTTGCAGAGTCAGGGTTCTCTGCCAGAACAGATTCTAGATGGTCAATCTCAAGCCTTGCAAGACTGATGAGTTTTGCAAGCTAAGAGCTGTGAGCATTTAAATGAAAATTAAAAAGATGTTAACTATAATATAGATTGACCTAACAGCAGTGGTGGCTCATACCTTTACTTTTATAGAGATATTGTAGGAACTAGACTGGATTTATCAATTCTTATCTGGGAAACCCATCCCTTTGGGTTTAAAAGCAGATCTGTTTCTGTCCTTGATTGTGTAGGAGTAGAGCCAGCATGTTCACATATGAATTGGATTTAGTTTTTGGACAGAAGCAAGTTGTCTATAACATACTCATTATTAAGAGTTGAATGCAAATGTGAAATGGATGAGATGTGTGGCTCTTGAAGGTATCCTGGAGAACAGTGGAATTTTCCATTAAAAAAGCCTGATCCTATTGAATACTGGTTTGCTAATATTTATGCTTTGTCCAACTTTTATCTCATATTACTTGTTACCCTTTTTACAGTTATACAAGCTTCATGTCTTTGCCCCAGCTTGGAACAACAGTTGGTTGTTTTACTTCTCAAAGATATTTCAATACGTTTGATCAATTATGTGTTGTATCATTCTTTGCATCAAGAAACAACAAAGCTAATGAAGTAGTATTTGAGCAGTTTGTTGCTTTACAATGCAGTTTTTGTCAGGCATTTTAAATGCAGTGTAGTGGTACTGTGTCCCTGCTCTAGGGGTAGGGGACAGTACAGAAGCAATTTTGCTAGTAAACAAAAAGACCAGAATTTCATTCTTTCAGTCAGTACTGATCCACACTCTGCCTTTATTGGAATGAAATGCCGTGGGATCTGAATACCTTTCCATTTTAATAGAATAGTTGTTATAGAATAGTTTGCTCAGAAAGGTAAATTCCCAGTTCTGTGTTTGTGCCTATAAAGATGACTTCATTCTGGCACTTTGCAGCTGTTGAGAAGGTGAGGGAGAGGGAGGCAGCATCATTCTCATTGATGTGTCTGCGGTAAAAAACCGTGTTAACTCATGCTGATTTTAAATGCTAGGTATGTCTGCCTGCATTTACAGTCTGATGAAGTTTATCTTAGACTCCTTCAAGGCAAAAGTTCCTATGTAGAAAGCAAGGCACAAATATCTTGGATTTCCTTTAATTTCTGAAAAGCTTCAAAAATACTTAGAGGCAATGAGCGGGGGACATCGGAGGTGATGCAAGTCTGATGTTTCGTTGCTGTAATCTCCTCTAGGCCTTACTTCAAACTCATGATGTAGTGGCACATGAAGTTTACAGTGACGAAGCGCTGAGGGTCACCCCTCCTCCCACCTCTCCATACTTAAACGGGGATTCTCCAGAGAGCGCCAACGGCGACATGGATATGGAGAACGTAACGCGGGTTCGGCTGGTGCAGTTCCAGAAGAACACGGATGAGCCAATGGTATGGATGGAACTTCAGTGTTTTTCTTGACTCTGTGCTGGTGAAGACCAGTATTACAATGATTTTGACGGCAATTTCTGCGCTTTGAAGTGGGGTTGCCAACAGACCGGAATAGTTCAGCAGCCATTGTAGATAATTGTCCTCCTGTCTGTGTTCTTAATTTGAAATGCTGTGTCTGCATTCACACTGTACCACTAGAGCTAGTTTAGTTTAAGTCAGCCTCACAGTAATTATAGCAAATTAAGCTTTAAACCAAACTGGACACTTCACACTTCAATGCAAACTCATGTCTTTAACAAACCAGAATCTTATATGCTTTTAAGTTAAAGTGTTGCATCTTCACTTATAAATAGTATCTGTTTTCGCTGCCCGTATTTGAATGACAAAGATTTTGTTTTAATCTCAAAATCTATACCTTGCCTTCAAACTTTTAGGAAAAGTGACTGTTCTTAACCACTCAAAAAATCACAGTGCTTAGTGGTTTATTTTTAAAAGTATAAACATTTCTTTTTTTTTCTAGGGAATCACTTTAAAAATGAATGAGCTGAACCATTGCATCGTGGCAAGAATTATGCACGGAGGAATGATTCACCGGCAAGGTAAGTGTGTCTCATGAGCAGTTTTGTCTTCAAACACAGTAATTTTGTACAAGCTGTGTAATGGTACATACTCCTCATTTTGATGGCTGCTATTCCATAGCAGTGCACCTCTGTATCTGGATGGACTCTGCTAACTGCTTTAGTTACCTTCCAGATGTCTGCCAGCGTTTTCAGGTCAGGGGCCACTGTGTTTCATTTAGGTCTTAATTAGGATAATTGCTATACTATTACTGATTATAGCTCAGCAAGACAATGAAATGCCAATAATTTCTGGATGGAGCTGCGCTTATTTTATCTTCTGTTTAAAAAACAAGACAAGTAACAATGCTGTTCCTTGCAAAAATGAAAGAGCTTTGTCCAATACAATTCTTGAGGACCTTTGTATTTTTTAAGTTGAGGCTTACAAAAATGTTTTTTGAAATAAAAATATTACTTGTGCCTAGAACTTGACTCTTTATTTTCAGTTTTCACTGCTATAACAAACTGTGCAAACATGCATTTTTTTCTCATCTCCAGTTTTCTCCTTTACTCTATTTTGTGTTTCCTGATCACATGTCAAAAATAACAGGGTTTTCTCCTACTTCAAACAGATGAACTTTCCTGCTGTGTTGCTAGCTGCAAGTTTGGATTGCACCCTTAAAAGGGTTACTTTAACTTTTTTGGACTGCCATCTTTTTCTTTTGATGAATACAAAATTTTTCATCATTTTTCAGCCCCAAGTTCCCTCTAGCCTACTGTTCTATTCCAGAGGAACCTAGGAGCAGGCAATTAGGAAGAGAAAACATTCACTTCAGCTCATTAATGTTGGTAAAAACTGTCAAGAAGCAGGAAAGAGAAAAGATTTCATACAACCAAAGATGCAATTCAGATAGAGCTATATTTTTTAGAGGACCTTTTAAATCAAAATTTATTTGGCATCTAAAAGTGAGTTTTAAAAGGAGATTGCTTTAAGATTCCCAGGAAGAAGGTTTTCTTTCAGCTCTGCTTAGGTAGTGTTGATGCTCTGCAGAGTATTGTTTCACATGGCTGTTCCATAATGAGGCTAATGAAACTTTTAAAACCTGTTAAAGCTGAGCAAAAAATCCAACTGTGCCCATTAAAACTCTGTTGTTTCTCATTATACAATGTCTTTTATTTCAAAAGATTTTGGAAATACAACCTATTCTCTATATGCTTCATCTCACTAATGTAGCTCTTCTGTCCATAGGTCTAATCTGAAAGTAAAGTATACTTCAGTATTGTCACTCATTATTTTTTAATGCTTCCAATTTTGTTAGTGTTCTAGATACCTCTTGGTTTCACTTCTTCATTCAACATACCTTTATTTAGAATATTTTTATTGAATAGAACAATGCAAATGTAATTTGACAGTGATCTCAAGCACCTTCTTTGAATACTGTTGATAAGGTCTGTGGCTCATTGATTTTCAAGGGGTGTTTTGTAATTTTTTCTGCTGTCTGCTGTATAGAAAACTGCCAGACAATAACAGCAATGAGTGGATAATAAATCTACTGAGAGGGTTACAGGAACTGTGTAATTTCAGCAATATTAAGTACAAACTGCACAATTCCCAATCACAAAATAGCTGCTGTGAAGTAGCCTCCTATCTCTGTGGCAGCTGTATCTAATCCTGCTGATTATAATTGTTCTTATTCAAAAGGAGGGGGAGTTAAAGTGGGAAGAGAGGCTTTTAAAGATTCTATCTACTTGCACCTTCCAGAGGATTCAGCTCAATGAAAATTAAACACCAGTTTCAGTCATTAAAAATTGTCTTTTTATTGACTTGTCTGCTTTTTTAGGACAAGTAAATTAATTGTATCATAGATCTCAGGCTTAACTTTCACCTTGGAGTCTGTGCCTTAACTTTGCTGAGTTGTCCATTTACTTTCTACCTGTGAATTTTGTTTAGACTGCTCATACCATAAATATTATTTTCAGGGGATCTGTATAGAGCCAAATCTCTCAGCAGGTTTCAGTACCTTAACCTGTGCGTTCTTTGCTGCTGACTGATTTTGGAGCTTATGTGCTTAAAAGTGAATTCATTCTTAAGATGCACTTAAGAAGAGGTCCCAGTATGGCATTTAAAAAGATTTCCAAAGAAGAGAGAGGACCATTGGCTGCCCATTTAACCTCAACAGAAAAACAGCAGTTGTGCATTGTCTGTGCTACATTCTTAAAGTGATTTAATGTCAAATTGACACCGGTTTTTAAAATACAGTTACCCTTGATAAGCTTTATTCAATTCTAACAAAATCTCTGTGAAATTATGATTATATGTTCACAGCCCTTCATTTTCCAAGCTGCAGAATTTTCCTATGGCTACTAAATATGTTTCTGAATAGGGAATCCAAGATTTTGTTCCATCTTCTTCCTAAAAGGGTGGGATTTCTCATACTTCTGTGCAGAGCAAGAGCATGTACTTCCTCAAACTGTCCTCACTCTCTCTTGCAAAGACAAAGGAGGAAATCATTTACTTTCAGAGATATATCTATTCTTTGCTATTACAGATGTATTATATACCACTAAGTCCTGAATAGCTTAAATTGTAAATAAACACTGCATTGCCAACAGAAAAGGAACCAAAACCAGCCAAAATCTGGTTAAGCAAAGGTATCATAGGAGTTACAAATGTTAGAGAAGGCTTGTTATTCAAAGATGTCAAGAACACTTTTCCAACAACAATATTTTTAAAGAGTAAAATGTTTCAGCAAATGATAAACCTTTCTCCCCTCAGATTGAAAATGTCTTTCTGTGATTTATCAGTGCATCCACCCCCACAAAAGAGAATGACCATCTGCTGCTAATGTCCATGCTTTATTCCCAACTTTTATGTATGCTGTTCCTTTACAGTCATGAACATGACAATATTCACTTCTGTCAGAGTAGCAGAAATGGGGAATGCTCCAGAAGAGAATATTTTATTTGCGTGCACTATTGCAATGATTTGATACAGGGATATTACTGAATCTGATTCTCATTCTAATATTTAATTCTATCAGATTTATGTTTTGAATAATGTCAAAGAATCTTTATACTATTCCAGGCAGTATGGTCTTTCTGATTCAGTGTTATTGTTTAAGAACAATTAAACTTATTTCAAACACAGTTAAATTTTGGCATGATGGAGTCAACACAGAGCCCCCTTTTTTTTTTAGAATAATTTTTAAAGAATCAAGTAGTGAATGCTTTCCTCAGAAAGTCTGACAAAACTGAACTTTCAAAGTGTTTCACTAGAGATTTGATCATTAATATTCTAGATGTGAACTAGATTAATTTGAAATTCAGATACAGGACTGTTGGATTCCCATTCAGTGAACTATTAACTGTGATAATTTTTCCACTGAAGAGAAAATTGGGACAAAAATTGTGATTAGACCTCTTTTATAATTTCACTATCAGCAGATCAGCCCCTGTTGAATTGTTCAGAGTATTTAATTTGGCTGAACAAGTTACTCTTTAGAGTACTGAAAGTTTTTGTAAACTCTGGGCTCTCTCCTGTAACACTGCCAAGTGAGCTACTGTTTCACAGAAGAGAGACAGACCAGTGGGAATCAGAGCAACAGAGCTTTTCAGGATTCTTCTCCTTGGTTCAGGCTGTGCTTGTGTTTAGCAGGCACACAGTTTGATTTTCTTATGTTTGTACCAGCTGAAAGTTTTGCTTCCATCGTATTCTTTGGAAAAATAATTTTGGTTCAGAAAAAGAATTCTAAGGGGTTTTCAGGATTGTAGTTGATTGGCCTTTTTTTCAGGTAATTTTCTATAGCTGTGTTTTAGTTTAGGAAATGTTTGCCACTTCCTTGTTTTCAGAGTAAGATTATTTATAATAGGTACAGTAATTGTATGAAGTACAGTATTTGGAAGAGTATATTTGCACAAATTCTTTAAATCATACAGCAGAAAGGAAAATATGTGAAGTAAATGGTCTTGTCATGTTTCATTATGTATGGAAAACCTCTTCTGACTAATAATAAACCATGGAAGGGTTTTTGTGAGAACTGCTAGAGAATTAGGTGGGTTTGAGCTACTTAAGTCAGAAATTATCATTCAAAAAGCCTCCTAGGTTGCTTCTAATCCTGAAGATAATTCCTTTGGTGCTTCTCCCTGTTGAGCTTTTGTGGTGCCTTAGAGCCATGTAGTAGCATCCCATTCCCATTCCGGCTTCAGCAGGTCAGTTTATGACTTGCCTAAGCCAAGCAGGTGTTTATTTCATCATCTGACACCAATCATTTGTATTCAGGCTTGAGTCAAGCATCCATACAGAAAATGCATGCTGTCACTATGGCAAATCAAAATCAGAGAAATGAAAAAATACAGAGGTCTGACAGATAAAATCAAGACTACGTGCAGAAGCCAAACTTCATTAAGTAGTCATCTGATAAAATATTGTTTGAATATCTCTTGAACATTTCCAGCTGACAAGTTGTTGGTGACCTTCTTTTTGATGTGTGGGTTTTTGCAGTGTCCTTGTAAGGCTCTGATGTTTTACCCATGGACTTTATAGGGTGCCTGCACATCTCTTGTGGGTGTATTCACTGCACTCTGAAAGACAGATTTGTAATCTTTGGCAGCTAATACAAAGTCCTTTTCTGAATCTAACCAAAAAATTATTCTGATGTTGTTTTGTGTTTATGCCTTTCTGTGAATATTAGAACTGTCTTACAGTTATCTCAAATTGTAAAAGCATGTTTGAGGTGATTTGTGTGTTTTGTTACCTCTGCAGGTACGCTACATGTAGGGGATGAAATCAGAGAAATAAACGGAATCAGTGTGGCAAATCAAACTGTAGAACAACTACAAAAAATGCTTGTAAGTGCCTGAAATATTTCTCATGTTCTCTATAAAAGTGCCTGTCTTATTTAGACAAAAGTTTTATGTAATTGTGTTCTGACTTCCCCTTTTTCTTTTGTTCTTGATAGACTGCATAGGCATGCAACGAAAGGGTTCATGTGTTCAGCTCTTAAGCCTTCTACAGGCTCTCCCCTGTTTTCAGTAGTGGCTTTTTTGAACCTTCTACACTGGGCTGGTTCAGGTGTAATTTTATTTATTCCATTTAGTCCCACAAAAAAGATCATTGACACCCAACCATTCCTGACAGATGTATGTCTAGCCAGCTCTTAAAAAAACTTGACTAGTGGAGGTTGCCCAAACTCTCCAGGCAATTCACTTTCATGTGTAACTCTTATACACTTTACAAAGTTTTTCCCTAATATCTGAGTTTTGTTCATTGAAATGCAGGAGTTTCTTCTCTTGTCTCTTGTAATCATAACAGCAAAACTACTGCTTTCCTCCTATTACTCATCCCAAGTTAGTCTATAAAGATCATAGAATCACAGAATAGTTTGGGTTGGAAGGGACCTTTAAAGGTCATGTAGCCTGACCTCCCTGCAATGAGCAGGGACATCTTCAGCTAGATCAGGTTTCTCAGTCATGCCCTTATTTTAATTGTTGAGTCTACACCAGGTGTGGTCACTGAGTAGACTGTGAGAGGAAAGAAGCTTTTCTTGACTATTGGTATCATTGCTACACAAATACAGAGGCAATAAATCACAGAATCATTAATATTGGAAGTAACCTCAGGAGGTCTCCAGTCCAGGCTCCTGCACAAAGCAGGGTCAACCTGGGAAATATCCAAGGACAGACATTTGACAGGTCAGATGCTTCTTTGGGCAACCTGTTGCAGTGCTTAATTATCATCATAGGGAAAAATGTGTTCTTTACATGTAGCTGGAACCCCCCTTTCTTTCAGTTTATAACTATTGTGCTCGTGGTTATTGGTGTTACAAAGGAAAAAAAAAAACAATATTTTGAGCTCAGACAGCCTGTCTTTTGCCAGGAAAGCTCCATCTTGGCCCTTGCTGGTAGAGTCATTTTGATATTCCATAACACTTGTACATTTTTCTGCCTGCAACCTTAACTTTGGGATCATGGATGGTATCACTAATCCTTCTGTTGTGTTCCAGAGCCATATAGACAAGCTGAAAGGGAGTCCAGGCAAATAGCATTTTTTGGGGTCACAGCAAGCCAGCCAAAGGGAGAAGGTGTTAAAACTCTGAAATTACTTAAAGTGATTTCTGCCCAGACCCAAGTCCTGCAGTTGTCAGCCATGTAGTGGCACTAATATTCAGATTGCTATTTAAAAAAATACATTGCCACAATCTACTGCCCTTCTGCAGTTGCTACTTGTTGTGAATATTCTTATACTATGGTAAATGCAAACTAGCAGACTCCGTGTTCTGTTTTGATGAAAGTCTATTTTTGACATTTCTACCTTTACTACTGTAATGTGACGCTTTCCAGAAATTGTGAATACAGTTTTGCTGTTTAACATGTATGAAAGGGAAGAAAATGTCACTTTAGTAGCAGAGTGTCTGCGAATCACAGGGAATATAGCTACAAATAAAAGATTGACATGGAAAAAACCTACACATCTCTGAATCTCGGTTCTAGGCATTGAAACCTGGTCAGGCAAACAAACTGATAATGTATGTTTATCCTTTAGATTAATGAGAGATGATTTAAATGTTTGTTTATAGGTGAAGTGACAACTTAACCATAGCATTTTAGCTTTTCTGAATATTTACTTTAGGAAAACATGCTGCTGTTCTCGAACAGTGATGTTTTCCTTTCCAGCAACGGTGATTTGGAGATTTTCTCTTCAGTGTCTTACAAGTGCTTCTCTCTTTGCAGAGGGAAATGCGTGGAAGTATCACCTTTAAGATTGTGCCAAGTTATCGCACGCAGTCTTCATCCTGTGAGGTAATGAATTTAATGAGCCATCCTGTTTCTCCCTCAGTCCTGTAACTAACTGCCTGCTGATGGCTGAATGTTACTGCTTTCTGGGAAATTGTTTCTGCCTGTCCTGTTAGATCACGCACACCAATTTTACAACAAAGATAACGGAACACGAGTAGGTCCCACCTACCTACTCAGCCCCGCCTTCATATTCATCTCATCAGCACCTTAACTAACTCTTTACAGCCTATTTAAAAAAAAAAATAGGAAAGGGGATCCTCAACTCCTGCACTTAGGAAGCCCCTTTAAAAAAATGACCATTTAAACTTGTTCTTCAGGAAGTCTGTTAAAGTTCCTAAGCTGAGGAACACTCCTCCTGGTTTTTAGGCTTTAAATATTATATTGCTGCTTTGGGCTGTTAAGGGTTAATTGAAGAACCCATTTCTGTATAACCCCCTTGAGGTAAATTTGTGGTGGTTGTGTGTAACAGTTACATGTGGCTTAATACTATGTTTCCATGAAAAGATGGTATATGTCATTACAGAAGGAAAACAGATTTGGAGTTAGTTCTTGTTGAACTGGAAAGTTGGTGTTGTGGTTTTTGCACAGCAGTGTTTAATTCCCTCCTGCTCACGAAGTTATGTTCCAGATTGCAACTGAAGGGAATTAAATTGTAGAAGATGGCTACTTGAGAGCCACTGTTCCAATTTAAGCATACAGATGGCGTCTGCACTGTGTAGATGATGCCAGTCTCTCTGTGCCACATGTTCAACTGCGCAAACAGTTCCCAAATTAGAATTCCGAGAGTGAAATCACAACCCCTGTTGAAGTCAAGCACCTTATCTTAATTAGAGCTGTGATTTCACCCTAATTGTTTTTGTGTCTCAGCAGATGCTAGAATACACAGAAACTGCTACTGTGGTTGTCAGAACAGTCTGTTTGCAAGAAAAAAAATTACTGCTTTTTGGTTGCCTTCTGTACTTCTAATCTGTACTTCTAATAGTATTCAACAAAAACTAAAAGGTTTTAGAGGTAGAAGGTTTGACAGATTTTCTCATGTGAGGCCAATTTTCTTAAAAGCTATAAATATGAAAGCAAAAGTTTTCCCTGAAATGCAAAGTCTTTAAAAGAAATTAAATAGAAATTCTACAGTGTGTTACAAATTTCTGGAGTGACTTCTGTGCTGTAAATAGAAGTAATAATAGAAGATATCTCACTTCCCAACATTGGAACAGAGAAAGTAGTGAAACTGTAGACCTGCTGGGAAGATGATTATTTGGAAAAACTCAGCATACAGCTTTAAATTAATACCATTAGGTGTCATTTTAATAATAGCAGATAATCTGTTTTCTTTAGCTTTGTGTCCTTAGGTTCTTCATGACTATTTCACAGAAGAGTGGAAAATAGACTCTTACCTTTCTTTGAAAAAAAAACTAGAAGTGAAAAAAACCCTATCTAAACTAGAAGAGTGTGATCAAAGACAGGGAAAAAAAAGAAAAAAGGCATGTCTAATTATGAGACTTTGTGGCATTTAGCATTCATTTAATCAGGGGAGGCTGACTCTGTTCCCTCTGCTTGGCCACACTATGACTTTGGCTAGATTTTCAGCTGCTAGAAGTGTACACAAAAAGCCACAATTTTTAAATCATCCTGCTAAAGAACAACTAAGCCTTTGGTATTTTTTTCACAGAATTTATCAGGATTGTGATTCAGATGACAAATCAGATTCTTAACCATCAATAAAGGCTAATAATCGATGTTGAACAACATTACTAAGACACAGAAAGCTTGCTTATTGTGCCCTCTAGCAGGATAAATTGACAGATATTTGGTCTTCACGAGTATAATCTTACTAGTTAAGTTTTTTTTTGGCAGCATTTCAGTATGTATTAATGTTTAGTTCCCCTCTCCTCTCAGTCATGGACTGGTGCTCACGTAGTATAGTTTTGTCAGCAGAGGAATATAAAACAGAATGGAAACTAGGAGGGGTTGAGGCTCCTACCGTGATCATGTCATTGGGTGGCAAAACATTTTTGGTAATCTAGAATAAGGGAAAACTAAATATTAGTAGAATCAGGGGTGATATTATTAGGGATGATATTTATTTAGAATCTGTCTTAGGCCCTTACATACAAAGGTGGGGAGATTGAGATGTTATTTTTTTGAATGAGATTTGAATTTCACTTGCAATAATTTTCTTCTTTTGTAGTCATTTAAAATTCAAATAAGTGTTTGTAGAGATGTTTTCTAAACATTAAGACAGTTCTACATATTTAGGGAAATCTTTTCTCTGTGCTCTGTAATGGTACTTCAGTTTTGCTAGACAGTTTTCAAAATCTCAACTGAATAATTTCAAGTTTCTTAGGCATTCGTGGCTTTTCCTGCTCCCATGCCTTCCATTCAGTTACCAGGCCTTCTATTTCGTGGAGTAGACTTTGCTTGGAAACATAATACTTTTGGATTCCCTTGTGTAAAAATTTGATCAGCTGATCTAGTGTGAGATGACCTATTTAGTTTTTGGTCTGGCACATGACCTGAGTTAACACAGATACCTATATAACACGGGGTCAGGATGTTGGCTTTTCTTCATCAGATACCCAGAAAGTTGCAGGCTTACATAAACATAAACTTAAGTAACTATTGCAACATTCTTCCTATGGCTGATGGCTGCCTAAGCTGTTTATATGTTTCAGTTTTATCCCACTGAGTAAGCATTTTGCTCTAGCTACACTTGCACTCTTACTTTCTACTGACCAGATACCCCAAGAAACTTTTTATAGTGTCAGATTTGTGAGAATGGTAAGGGAAGTACTTTTTTTTTTTTTTTTTTTTTTCAAAAAATTTCCTTATAAACATTCTTTATGTTTCAGCTTGTCTCTGTGAAACACTTAAGTTGTTTCATTAAGAAGAAAAGCTTTTACATATATGAGATTTTAAAAGTCTGGTGGTAATCACCATGGATTTTTTTTTTTTTTTAGTCTTACATGGTTTCCAGTAGTACTCAAATTTTTATAGTCTTAAACCTTTTTTTTATATTTTTATTAACAATACTACCAGAAACATTTCTTGAGCCAGGACTGAAATGTAAAAGTGTTTTCAGATTTTTTGGAAAGTCTCTCTGGTTTTTGTGTGTTTTTTATTTTGGGGGGTTTTGTTGTAGATCTGGCCACAATGTCATTGATCCAGCTGTTCCTGTCAGCATCTAATTTGATCAGGCCATATCTAGTAGACATAATTGACCTCTGCTATAGGTTTGCATCTCAAATGCATTGATTTATCATTCATAATCAACACCCAAGAACAAGGAATCAACAGGAAACTGGTTTTGCCATCATTTGGAAATAATTGTGGTTGCTTCCTCTAAGGCTCCAGCTGTGGTGCTTCAATGAATAGTGAGAACCCCAAAGACTTCTGTCTGTTCCTTGGCTTGGGGCCAGACAAGTACAAGTCTAGATAGTCAAGTTTACTGAAACATGATGATAACCTTTCCACACTACTCAGAATCACTGGATCCTCCCAGTGTTTTCCTGCTCCTATCCCCAGGAAAACTAGGGCTTTTACTGATTTAGTGAAGAAACAACTTCACAACCAAAGCTGAAGTTTTCCAGGCCAGTTCAAAGCATTTTACAAGGATCTCTTTACTCATTGATTTATCTCCTTAGGCTGTGCATAATACAGTTTTTCTCCTTACCTTTGAGTCTGATAGTCTTTGAAAGAAAATCTTAATTTCCTGATCCCTAGGAGATTAAGAATCTAAATGCCTTTGAATTGTGGCAGAACAGCCTAATTATGTAAAAACTGTACATATATTTCTTGGATAGATTAATTTCTGACTAATGAAATCAGTAGCACTGAAAATGTGTATTTTTCTCAGTATGTTATGGTGAACATTTGCTTTGAATAATATGCTGTCTTCTGTTGAGAATTGTTGAAGGAATACAAATCAAAACATTCTCAGACCAAGAAAATTTCCTTCAAAGGGAGAAACCTTCAAGACAGTCCAGAAATAGTGGCATTCTCTAAATTTGTTTTTCCTTAAATGACTTGGGTGTTTGCATAACTTTCCAAAGCTTTCCCTTGCTTCCTTGCTAAACCACCACTGACAGCAAGCCGTAACAAACCATATTTTTAAAAAAAAAAGCTTAAATTAATTTTTCACCTCTTTTTTAAAGTGAGAAAATAGAAGAAACTAAATTGCAGAGTAAGCAGAAAATCTCTTTATAAAGCAAGAAAGTCACTGCTTTTTTGGAAAAAAGTATCTCCTAGCTACTCTGTTATAAAGGTGATGCTGATAATCCCATACACTCAAAAAAGGGAATAATGGTTCCTTTAGGCTTTTCCTTTTTTATATATTTTTTTCAGTAATGAATAGCTTGTTTACTCTCTTTTGAATATTTTAAACTTGTCATGCTGGAGTGATATTTTAAGTAGAATGAGGACCGATTTCTCCCAGTTGCAAATAGTTATGGGAGGCAAATTTTGTTCTTGTGCCTGTAGCAGAAGTGTACAGACCCACATACTTTGAACCACAATGATTTTACAGCCATGTAATTGTCAGGTCTGTCCTCAGCTGTGTTCAAATCAAAGCAAGGATCTACACAGATACATATGGAACTTTCTGTTAAATCTTATCTAAGGAGTCCACAGAAAGGTGCAGAAGTTCTGCATGAGTTTGTTGCACATCACATGTACAGGCAGCAAGAGGGATAAAGTATTGCCTGTCATTTTAACTTTCCTTGATGCTTTAAAATAGCTATGAGTGCTATCACATAATTAGTATAAGTTTGAGAATATTGGTAGAGGAACTTTCCCTGATTAATGTTGCATGAACAGTTTAGCTCCAGGTCTGTTTTTTAATTTGTTCACCAAGGGCACTTGTATTGAGAAAATGTGCCAGGGCTAACTTTGTTTGCTTTGAAAACTGTTTTAGCCCTTTTTGTGTGCTATCCCTGATGTTATGCAGAATGACCAGACATTCCTAAACCGACCTTTGACATGGAATATTATATTCTAAAATTCCTCTGAGGGTAAAATGGATTTTTATTTTTTTCACAATGTATGAGTGAATTATTTTATTTCTGGAAGAGATAGCTCTAACCTTGTGGGATTAAGTACTATACAGTCAAAATGGCATGTGAAAAAAATTGCTCTACAAGTTTCCTTTCCTTTGAAAAACACAGTCAGAAATTCCTGTTATCCTTCCTGTAGAATTTCCCAGTATGCACCCTGTGTCTGCTGTCCCCTCACTGAAGTGTAGGAACACACTGGTAGTCTGAGTCAAGAGAAGTGGCTTTTTAAAGTGTTGTATTTTGGCAAAGTTTAGTGCTTCTAAGCCCATAAGAATGTTGAAGGAAAAAATCATCAGTGTGATGTAAAGTGGATGAAAAGGGAAAAGAGAGGATCCAGCTTCCTTCCCAGGTGTTATTTTAGTGTCTTTGGGGCACTGCAGAGAAATGCGTTTTGCTTAGCAGAGACTGATCAACACTGACAACCACCTCACAGATGAAAAAATAGTTGGAAACATCTTTAAAATGGAATATTTGCCTCATTCTGTTCCCAGTATTATTCAGCATATAACTTTTAGATACTTATCTTTAACAAAGACTGGTGTATGTCTAAGGGCTAGGAGCACTGTGAGATCTCAAAAGTCCCAGATGTCACTAATTAAAAAGCTGTTTGATTGCTAAGGCAACATGAAAATAGTTATTACCTCAGATACATCAAAATGTCAAACCTGAATCTTTAAATTATGGGAAGTCTTTTCAGATTTACAGAGTTTGTAGGGTGGAAACTTTCACAAATGAAGCAGCTAAGAAAATGGTTATAAGGCTGTGGATGTAACTGTTCTTTGAAATATTTCTGTGTTCCTGTGATAGTGTTGTGTTGTTAATGAACCTTGTGTCTTATTTCAGAGAGATTCCCCCTCTACATCCAGACAGTCCCCAGCTAATGGTCATAGCAGCACTAACAATTCTGTTTCGGTAAGATTTCCAGTTCCACACAGAGAAACTGTGAAAGTTTTGTTGGTGCTCATCTGCCATTACTGTTATACTTATCGTGTGGTCAGTGGAAAATTTTGTCCTGATGGTAGAACTGAGGTTATTACATATGTAACTCCCCATTTTCTTTTTTTTTTTTTCCCAAGGGTTTTTTTCCAACATATTCTTCTCATTAAAAGCCATACAGTGAATTAAATGTCAATAACTGTACTGTGACACTTCAGTCATCCTTAAATCACTGTCAGCAGCTTCCTCAAAACTAAGCAGAGGTTTAAAGTGGAAGTTTTTATTTCCACCCTGATCTTGGGAAGCAGTGTTTGAAGAAAACATGACTGTGCAGTTGGTATCCCGAGACACTTTAGATTCCTTTTTTTTTGTTTTTAAGTTTTGTGTTTTGAGAGCCCTCTGGAACGTGTACTGGTTTCCGCTATCTGAGTTAAGGAATTGGTGTGCTCTCTGCTGTCGTGGTACGTGCACATACTGTGTGAAACATGAGCCTTGCCTGGATATGGAAAGCAAAAGGAAGTGGCTTTAAACTGCACTACAAACCAAGCTATTACCATCACATCTTTAACACAAAGTACTTCTGTTTTGTTCGTATTCAGGTAGAAAGGTGCTGTCGACCTCCTGGGGTTTTTTTTCTAAAGTATATCAATGTTAAAATTCGTGTTGTTTACCATTTGTCATTGTTTGGACCAATGTAGTAACTACACACAAGTTCCTTCAGTGAGTGCTGTCAGTATCACGAGTTCACAGGACTAGCTAAAAACAAACAAACCAAAAAAACCCAAAACTAAGTAACTACTCCTTTAACTACTAAAAAAACCCCTACAACTTAGAAATTATTTGCCACAAGGTAAAGTGCTTGCTAATTAGTAGAATGAAAAATAATTGTGTGGATGAAAAATTTAAGAAATTTTTATGAATTAAATTAAATTTGTAAAATGATTAGTAGTTATAATCTTAATTCTCAGCACAATTAATCACATTATACATTTTTAATAATAAGGTTTTTAATATTTGTAATGGCCTCTTTCTCTTTTAAAAGCAAGACTTAATAAGTATTAAGTGGAAAAGGCATTCACATAAAGAGCCTCTTTCACTTGGTGGTGCTTTTGTGTTGAAGATGCTGAATTATTTATTAAAAAGCACATTCTTTATCTGCTTAAACTTTTTACCTGCTTTCTTCAGCTTGCTGCTAAACAGCCTGGGTTTGATTTCTTAAAGAAAAAAAATATTCCTAAACATGGGGCAATGCTTTATACTTTTGTCTAACTTACCATTTTACTGTTATGTAGTATAAATCACTAACAAATGGTGTTGTGTACCCTTAAAAAGTAAAATGAAAATTTCTTCTCCTGGGTTGACTTTATTCTGCAGGACTTGCCATCGACAACACAACCAAAAGGACGACAGGTGAATAGATAATCCTCCATAGGAATTTTTGTAAACTTAGTTGCTAGTAAACATCCCTGCTTATCATTTCCCCACTCATATTCTGTATGTGCTGAACTAAAACATTTAAGCTTGGAAAATGTGTTCCATTTTTTTCATTTTTCTTTTTAACTCATTTGTTCATGGCTAATTCAAAATAGCATTTTTTTTCGTGTGTCCTTGTGTGTGAAAGTTACAAATTCATTTTAAGTTTAACTGGGAATGTTGTTTTAGTTCAGAGTGCATTAATAGACTTACTGTTGTGCAGTGACCTGTGCAGGTTTTTATCTTGGAGGAAAGCTCAAATTTGTATTTTAACTGAAATGGGGACAAGTGTCTAATACTCTAAAACATTGTACTGACAAAGATGCTAAAGCTTGAGTTGGTCTGTAATTATTAATATTATCCAAGCTCTTCAAAGAAAAACATTAAGGACAGTTTCTGTTAAGGTTTGATAAGTCTGAAGAATAGCTTCTTAAATTTTTAGTCCTAAGACCCAGATTCAGTGACCTCCCTCAACTTTGCTACCTTGACCTGATGGTGGTGCATCACAGACCAAAGATCTTCCCCCTCCAGAGAATTCCAAGAAAGCCCTTAGGGGCTCTGCAGAGGATTCCCTATCATTCCCTTCACAATTTTAAGATTTTTTTTTTTTCTTACCGCAGCCTCCAAATGAACACATACTGTCAAGTGATTTGTGATTCATCTTCAGTAACTGCTCCAGTTATGTATAGTCTTACCAGAATCTACCTCTGAATTTCTGTGTACTCAGCCTCTTTCTCTACCAAGAATTTTGATAATAGCTCTTGCAATTCCATTCAAAAAGTCAATTAACGATGTTATCTCTTATCTTTGAAAATCTTTTCATGCTGCTGTCTGGCTGAGATGGCTGGAATATCTGTTACAAGAATGGATTGCTCTTACTTCATTTCCCATTTTTAGAGTTTACAGCTATGTGATTCTTTCAACTTTCTGTTGTCTTCTGAAATTTCCAGCTGTCTGAATATAGACCTGGAAGGGCTCCATCAAAGACATGGAGTTAGGGTGAGGTTTTCGTTTGCTTCTCATGGGGTATTTTTCCCAGGAGAAAAGACTTTGTTCAAGGCAATATCAAAGCAGTGGTTTTTCTCGTACTCACACCATTTATAATTCCTGATTCTTTTAAGAGTCTTTTCCCATTGAACCAACATATTTTTCTGGCAGTTTGTCATCCTTGAGGACACTAAGGGCTTGGATAGCAGGTCGATTTTTATCTGCAAGGAAGTCTGTAATGTTCCATGAGCTGCCACTGTGTGGTGGATAAGGGCTCAAACTGGAGCAGGGACTGAAAAGCAAGGAAGCTTCAAGATGCTAAAAGTACTGCTGATGATTCTAGACCCTATATTAGATAAGGTTGAGGCAAAATAAAGGATTGGCTCAATATTGATTGCTTCATGGAAAACAGATTGCTGAATAAACGTGATTGGTTTCAAAATATCCTGTTTTTCAGGTAATTAAAAGAAATTGAGTCATTTGTCTAAACTTACACACTCAATGCACAGCAGAACAAGGGTCAGATTTAGAATATTAAAAGTCGAGTTCTATAGCGGTATTATCATCTGATGCTCTCACTGTAAACCAATAAAAATACATCAGATACAAGATAGACGTGATTAGCCATTTTAAGTTAATTTATTCATATGCTGGGTTGCAGATTGTATTACTGTAGGACTTTTTAAAGTGCCATGAATAGTTCTAAAGCTGCATTTGGAGCAGCTATTTTTGGAGCTCAATTTGAGCAAAGTTGAAAAGTAATTGTTAGAGTTTATACCAAGAGTATTACTTTGCAACATTGTAATTGTTGGAGGTTTTTAAATCTATTCAGGTTTTAGTAAGAAAATCAGCAGTATGTGTATACAAAGCTGCCTGAAATTCTGTAGGGTGATGTTTGAGGTTCATATACTGTGGAAATTACCCGCTTAGGGCATGACATTTAATTTCGATTTTAAGATACTTTGACTGCATCAAGGCTGTAATTAGCAACCAAAACTGGAGATCACTTTCATTTTTATTTTCTAGGGTTGAGACCTCACTAACACACAAAGAAAGGATTGGTATATTATTTTAAATTATGAAGTCAGAATCTGAATTCTTTCTGTTAATGTTCCTTAGAGAATAACTTGCTCAAATCATCGAGTTCATTTATAAAGGAGTAGACTTCTACTGAAAAACCCATGCAGAGAATTCTCAGATTCCTCCCTAATAACTATAAGTGCAATATTAAATTCCTATTTAATATTTTTTAAATATATTTCTTTATGTCTTAAATCTTAAAAATTTTTAGCCTAAATACTAAAGATGACTAACGTGGCCTAGGTCCTTTATACTGTCCAATAAAATGTCCTGTCATACAAATTTCTAAAACATACAGTGGGACTTCGGTTGGAAAGTACAGTTGTACAAGTTGTAAAGTGCTGGCTTATAGTCTGTACTGCTTTGTGATAGTTGATATTGATTTGAGGGACTCTATCAGTTCATTACCTTTTTGCTGTTCAGGTTTTACAGTACTTAGAGGCCATGAGCTTTCAAAATAACATCAGATGTCTCCATGGTTTGCTGGGGGGGCTGTTCTGTTTCATTTCCAACTACCACTTATGCTTTTGCCATTCTGTTTCTTCCTTTGCTTGTTGCAACCAGTATGTGTAGCTGCATTCACTGATCAGATTATCACCTGTTACTCTTAATACTGTGCCAGTAATAATATTGCAGTGTCTTTTATAAACTCTTTTTTTCATAGATATATGTAAGAGCACAATTTGAATATGATCCAGCAAAGGATGACCTCATTCCTTGCAAAGAAGCTGGCATCAGATTCCGAGTTGGTGATATTATCCAAATCATTAGCAAAGACGATCATAACTGGTGGCAGGGTAAACTTGAGAACTCCAAAAATGGTACTGCAGGTCTTATTCCTTCTCCTGAACTTCAAGAATGGTATGACTTAAATTTTCTATTAAAAAAATGAATTTAGCTTTGATTTTATTTCTGTCTTTCATGCTTTTCATTTTTGTGTGGCTAGTTTTTGAATTATTTTTTCTTTTTTTAAAAAAAGTCTGTTGCCTCTGTTTGTGTGGTATTGATTTTTTTGTATAAGCATAGCAGTAGAGTTACATGCAATATCATAGGTGTGGTTACATTAGAAAAATAAACACCTGTGTTAGAAAACATTATACTTTCTGGTATACAATAGAACATTGTTTACATAAGGGGGTCAAATGAACTTCTCTTTCAGCTTCTAAACAGTGTTTTCATTAGTACTCCTTATATGCAAGTGCTGCAGGAATAAGGTTTTAGCAGGATGTCAAGCAGAAGGGTCATTGAGGGAGTTTGGGGATTTTCTTTCCTCTTCATTTTTCCTGTGAAAGTCAAAAATCAGAACGAAATCACAGTGCAAAGATCCCCAAATGGCATATTCAGTGAACAGCAATGGCACTGAGTGCCACAAAAACAGTGCAGAGCCTTTAAACAACCTCTTGGAGAAGCTGTTCAGTAAAACTGTTAAAAGCATCAGCACAAATTCTGGCAAGCAAGTCTTGGACCATGAAAGTTGTGTCCATAACTCAATAAAGTTTATCAATATGAATAATCTAGCCCGAAATATTTCATACAGAATTTGCTGCATAAAAGAATTGGGGTGCTGTGAAGGGTTAACAGCACCTGTGCCACCTGGACTAGCAAAGCTATATATCACAGAATCACAGAACTAGCTAGGTTGGAAAAGACCTCTGAGATGAAGTCCAACCTTTGGTCTAACACCACCTTGTCAACTAGACCATGGCACTAAGTGCCACATCCAGTCTCTTCTTAAATACCTCCAGGGGCAGTGACTCCACCACCTCCCTGGATAGCCCATTCCAATATGTTCTTTTAAGTCATCATGAAAAACGTTTTTGAAAGTTTTACTGTGCTCTTGTTGCATAAAAAAAGTCTAATTTTTCTAACCATTCTGTACAGCTTTTTAAAAATCCTTGATTACAACAAATCCTTTTTTGTCCTCCATATGCCAGGCGAGTTGCTTGTATTGCCATGGAGAAGACCAAACAGGAGCAACAGGCCAGCTGTACTTGGTTTGGAAAGAAAAAAAAGCAGTACAAAGACAAATATTTGGCAAAGCACAATGCAGGTATGAAAAAAAAAATGCAGGTAGCTTTAACAGATTACATGTTTTTCGATTTAAACCTTGACATTAATATAAGCCTTACTTAGGAAAGTATAAGTAAAATTCTGATTATGCCAACATTACTCTGCTTGTTCTTTGCTTAATAGAGCTTAATCAGTGAGAGGCAAGCTGCCACAAAATCAATGCATCATAATATATCCTAATATAGGCTTACATTGTTTGAGGGGTTATGTTTAAAGGAGCTAAAAACCAACAGGATATGATTTTTGCAATCTATATAATGTACTATGCTCTACAGAAGACTTCTCAGTAGCATCCTTGTTAATGTGCATTTATAGTTACAGATTATATACATGAAAACATCACTAAAGGGTATTTTTCTTGAAGCATTACAACTGGAAGTGCAATAAGAGCCTTTGCATAGTCAGTGTATTATTTACAGTTACCAAATAGAACAAGCTGTTGAAGTTTATCCTCCTTGCTGTGATTTCTGCCTGAATATACTGACTTTTGGTTTTTTGTTCAGACTGCTGAAAAAAATAATTAATTGCTTTAGAAAATTTTGAAGGTAAAGCATGGAGTATGAGACCCTTGTCAAGCAAAATTCTTTAGTTTTAGTAGTAAAGGAAGACTCCTTCATTCATGAGCAGAATTTAGTTTTCTTCTTTTAGTGTAAAATACTCAGTGTGCTGCAACTGCTTTTCAACTATTTTCTATTGCTTTTGCATTGCTATCACATTTTGTGATATTTTTGGTTTTATGGTCTCTTGGGAGACATGCAGAGATTTTTATTGGAATCAAAAGATATACCTGTCCAAGCAGTGAAATGGAAGTATTTTATATATATTGCATTAATTTCTGGGATTTTTTTTTCAGTTGCATTCTTGAGGACACTAGTTAAACAATATAAATCCATATTTCCACATTTCTCTTTACTTGCACAGTCTACATGCAGTATCAGAGCTCATTTAGGTATCACTACTGCAAAATTTATGGTTCCTTAAAAGTCATTTGAAAATGAATTCTAAAAAAGTCAAATAACAGTAATTGTCATTTATACTCCTTAATTCACCGCTGTATTTAAGATGTTCACAGTTAATATAAAATTACTCATTAGCCTGAAAGCAAGCAGAGATTGAAAGCTTAAACTTGTTTCCTTCTCTTTGCTGGTTTAACATTCTGGTTGTTGTAATGTTTCCACTTCACTGCAGTGATTAGTTTGCTAATTATTAATTTACATAATTATGTATTATGTATTATTTACTAATTATGATCTTAACAACAACTGTTGGGAATAAACTGGGGGTTATGACCTAAATAAACCTAATACTGGTTTCAAAGTATTATCAATTGCTCCCACATACATTCCCCGAGCCTTGCTCCTCCCTTCAGTTGTGGCAGTGTAACTGTGCAGGCCATGCTGTAAGCTGGATTAATTGAAGAACAGCCCAACAAAACACATGGATTTTATTTCTTTTAATGATGTCACTGTGAGTAAGCACAGCCTGCTACAAAGGAATAAGCAAAAGGAAGAGGATGGCCAGGGAAGGAGAAGGAGCAGGCAATGCTTTAAGAGCAAAACTAGTTCAAAGACTTTGCATCAAATAAATTCCTGAAAGCAAGGTAGTCTAGACTTTCCTGTCTTGATGTAGGGGGACATTTTGGAGCAGGTTGACAGCACTGAGTCACACAGTTTGCCTGCCTTAGCGCTTGACACCAGCAGTGCTGTTAGTCACCTTACATCAGAGCAGAGTCTTTGCCAAAAATTAGAAACATGAACATTAAAAATTATCATAATGACCCTAAAGAACCTGTTCTTTTCAGAATAGCACTTCCCCTTCCCCCTAAGAAGTCACAAAGGTAATGAAAGCACAGATTAGAGTCAAGATTTCTCTTAGAAACATTTATTGATCTTAGTGACCTTGAGGCGATGCCAGTCATATTCCAGGGAATGACACCAAATGTAGGATAAAAAGAGGTTCACTGAAATGCTCTCATGAGTTTTCAGTTTAACTAAGTTGGTACTGAACTTGCCTTTTCTGAATTACTCTATCATGGCTGGTATTGTTAGTCAGAAATAAACCAGCACCGACCTTTGCAAGCTTTCAGTGCGTTTGTCTCAGAAAAAATAACAAATCTTTTCCTCTGTTGGATCCAAAATAAGTATAATCAATGTCAAAATATTGCTCTTACAAGAAAGTGGAATTTACTTCTCTTGTATCTTAGTATAAAATTCAATAAATTGATCAGCAGTCTGTAATCTATTTGTACTTCCGTGTTATTTTTGTCTTAGGGGTTCAAACTGAACTGGGATGCTGAGAAAGGACTTAGTAAAATACTTCATAGTCAATTAAGATTTGTGTGGCCAGCTAATGATTTGAGAGCTTGTGTGGGATATTGGGATATTACTGGAACTAGACATGAGATTGTTCTGCAAATCATAGTTTATGAAATAAAGAGGAGACAATTTCCGTTACTTTTTAGAATTAGAAGCAAATGCTTTCTTCTTTACAAGAAAAATGTAATCTTGTTTTTCCTTCCCCCATGCTTCATTTTAGAGTGTTAGGCAATTTCATGATCATATGTTTTATCACTGTAAAGACCATTTTGAACAAAAGCCCACAGGAAAAAATGAAGTATTTTTTCAATATTAGATTTGCTGATATTTTTATAAATGCTCTAGAGATACACTGCAGTGTATCTAGATATATTTTTAATTTATTTTACTGAAATGTTGATGCAGGACTTCAGAAAAGAACGGTCTTTAGAACATACTAGAGCTATGCTTCCTATTATGCATAATCTAGAAAATTGCCAAGCTTTTATAAAATATGTTTATCATTTCTTAATGTGATTTATTTGCCTTGTGTTTAGACTATTGCATGGTAAAGTTTATTTTGTGCATATACTTTTTATTTTACTAATATATTACAAGCCATATCTCAATGACCCCTGTACATTTTTCATGCTGTCTTACTCCCAATGGCCTCTGTGCATGTAAGTAACCTGTCAAGTGACAATGCCTCTTTATTTGCTTCTTACTGTTTCCTTTCAAGAACTCCTTTTCTTTATTAGCTAGTAACACTGAAGCATTGAAGTTCAGTCTTTAAATGTGCCCTGTATTCCTCATATCTTGTGTATTTTTTAAAAAATTATCATTCTTCTTTTGCATTTGAAAACCCTACAATCATTAGTTAAGTCCATGTAGACTGAGACACATCTTCTCCATGCTGCTAGTTTGTGATAAAGGCATTAATATGTGTCATTTCTGTTGTTTGTACCTGTTGTTTGTATCTAACATAACATGGTTTTGTTCAAGAAGAAAATAAAGGATAGATTTTTTTATTGCTGTTATTTTTTGATGGAAAATTATACTCTCAGGCCTAGATGGTTAGAATGGTAAAACTGTTTAGCATGTTGTAGATCTTTGGCTTTTTCTAGTATGAAATTAATTGTTAAGTAGTTTAAATACTGTAAAGTTGCAAAAAGGACAGTAGAATTCCATGGTTGTGGAATGGAAGAAAAATATGACTAAATTCTTGTTTGTAGGATTTGGGGAAAGGTTGAAAGAGATTGTTCTTTAGGATGAAATTCAAAATGCTTCAAATGGACTAGGAAGTTTTCATATCTGTATCTTTTCAAGGTCTTAAGCAGTTGAGTGTGTCAATTGATTAATTTGTTGTTTGACCAAATTGAAGTATTTGTACTTTTTCTCTCAAATTGAAAAATGTGACCTGTAAAAAAGAAATACATTAAGTTAAATCCTTTCCTGCTTTAATTGGGACTTTAGTACAAAGAGCTTGTGCTTTCTGGTAGGCTCCATGCTCTTCATGCTGAATCTTGGTGGCTGGGGACTTCTGGAACAAACTAAAGCTCCTGCCGCTGCCTACTTCCCTAAGGGGTTTTGGATGGGGGAGAGGGATATATCCAGACTCATCCCAAAAGATGGGTGGGATATAGTTGAGGTGAATTCACCACTTAAGATTTGGAAACACTCAAAGGTCCCATAGTTAAGGTGCAGTTTCTCCTCCCTTCTTTTCATAGTGTGCAAAAATACAGAACTGAAAACTCTTGTTCATTATTCTGCTCACAATTGCTGATTGCTGTAATCTTTACAAATATAATTAACTGCCTCCTGGCTTCTTTTTCATTAGAATTCTGCAAGAGTTACCAGAGATGATGTGTTACTGGGCACAGGAGGAATAAGTTGTTTTTAATGAACAAAACTTGATTTGTTAATCATTATATTCCTTGGCAATTGACAACAGATTGATAGGCATGATGGAATTCATCCAATTTCAACTGCAGTTGAAATTATATCTGAAATAATACTTTTACAATTTTTCCCTAAATATGGTGGAGGTTCTTTTATGTAATGCCATCACTTTCCATTAGAATTCTTCATTCTGTCACAAGTTTTAAAAGCATGTCAACTTAACTAGCACGTGTGTTTAAAGAGAACTCTAATTACAATTAAAGGGTGGTGGTTTGAAAGAATAAATACCACAAAGTATTAGCACTCTTCTCTATGCATTTCTCATAGATCTTGTTAAAACATTATTATGAAAGTATCCCTATCTTCAGTGTAAATAGATGTTCTCATACTGTATTCATGTTGGTCACTGTCTACAGATTTTTCTTTAGTATTGCCATTTCTTAGGAATGCAAACGTGAATGGCATGCTGTTTGAGCTAATTTTTGTGGTCTGCTGAATACTGCATGAAAGGACATGCAAACTTTGAGCATTTCAGTAGCTTTCTTACTGCTCTTAACAGTTCTTTAAAAGAACACTCTTGTTCAAATGCGTAATGAATGGTTTTATTTTCTATATTACTTTGTATTATGAATCTAAAACTTGCTAAAATCGTAATTTGTAGCAGAATTAATTGTCACTCTTAATATGCCTTTTTTCTTATCCCTTGGGGGCTTTCTTTTGTGTTTTAGTGTTTGATCAATTAGATCTCGTCACATATGAAGAAGTAGTAAAGCTGCCAGCATTCAAAAGGAAAACACTAGTCTTACTAGGTAATTTTTGGTTATTTTTCTGAACATAACAACATAGTTCTGAAGCCCTTCTGGTGGAAAATTTCTAAATTGTGTTTGTGTCATGCTTCAGGTGCACACGGTGTCGGAAGAAGACACATAAAAAACACACTCATCACAAAACATCCGGACAGATTTGCTTACCCCATTCCTCGTGAGTAGCAATGTTCAATGTACTGCAAAATTGTTTGTTGTCATCCTTGACAACACCCCTGTTGCTCTACTACATGTGTTCAGTTCTGCTGAGATGAGTCTTGAAGGTGGGAACTGTGCTAGGACTGGGTGTACTTCTTTTGCTTTACCAAAGGGAGGGGTGGAAAGTAGCACCAATTTTACATAGAATGTTTCTTGTTACTCACAAAACTTCTTGCTTCTCTCTACCCAAATGTTCCTTAATTCAGAACGAAGGATAAAACATTTCTCATTTCTAGCTGTGTATGATTCCCATGAGAAGACACATAAACTGGATTTAGAGGAAACCTTTAATGTGTACCTTATCTGAATGTTTTAATTACTTCTCACAGCTTAGTCTTGGGGGCTGGTACTACTAAAACAACCTCAAATTTCCAGAGATGGCAATAAGGAAAACACAATTAACTTCACTGCTTACAAGTGGGTTGTTACAAAGAGCACAGAGGTGTTTTTCCCTTCATGACAGTCTATCAATACCATGGCAGGAATTGCATATCCTATTACATGGTCTCTTGGAGATGCACCCTTTTTCCTCAAGCTAAGGATACTGAAACAAGAGTATCCAGTCCCTGACTGTCCACTCTATTTTAGACTGACTTCAGAAACACCATTCATGGCTCAGAAGTGGTGGTTTTGTACCTATAAGGACTTTGTCGTTGCTAAAATTATTCTTTTAAGAGCTTATCTCTAAACCTGTTTGGAATGGGGAAAGGGTTAGTTGGGTGCTGATCTCCTGAGTCAGATAAAGAGCAGATCTATCAGAAGGAAAACAGAAAGACCTGGCCCTTTGGAAAGCATGAGCTGTTAGATCCCCCCAGCAGCAATGTGACACTGAACTGTTTGTCACACTACTGTTTATTGTCTAGACACTAAAATCCTCAATTAGATGTGTGGTACCAGGAGTATGTGGTGTGCATTGTACTTACCTTATTCAGTACAGACAAAATTATATGGGGGGAAGGTAGTAAGGAACCCAGGAAATATGATCTCTGTTGCAAAGAACTAAATCAGAGCCTAATAAATGTTTACAGTATGCTTTTCACCCAGTCTCTCTCAGGTACTAACTGTACTGGCGTGGAGAGGGAGGAGCTGAACTAGTTATTTTATCTTCAAATACTGTGAAAATGGACTCATCTATACCATGGTGATCATGCTTTAGGTTGCCTGCATTAGGTTCTTTCTCTGTGGAAACACTGAAATTGTTTCACTGGTTACATAAGAAGACTAAAAAGATGCATTTTCTGCATTCTTTTACAAAACCATAGATTAGGTAGATTAGGTAGTTTTTGAGATGGGCCTTAAGTTGGGTGGGGAGTTTTGGGGAATGCTTTGTGAAGAAATTATCTACAAACTGAAAACCTGATAGAAAAGGTCATGTCATATACAATGGTAGTTAATTAAAAAGATTAGTAGGCCATACTTCTCTTACCCCATAGGTCAGTAGAAGTAATATATTCAAAAAGTATGATATTACTAAGTAGCTTTCATCTCTCTTGACCCATAAGTAGTCAGGTCCTTGCCTACTTTTCAGACTTATGCTTTCACACTCATAAGAAGAAAACCTCATAAGAACTCGAGTTAAAAAAAAAGGAAAGTAAAGAAATGTTTTTAGAAAAGAAGAGGATTTGAGAGAATTATGAGGATCTGAAGTTTAGTAGACCTAGAACATCAGTGAGTAGTATAGTGATATTATATGGTTTGTATAATCCATTGTTCATGAATTTCTTAAAATAACTGTGATCTATAATATTTCTATAGAACTTTTCATCTTTGAAATATCCTGATTAATCTTCAGAACATTGCTAATTAATCCTCAGAACAATAATAGGTATAACTAAAAGTAGAAGATGAGTTCAGTTTTTGGATACCTTGTTTGAAATTATGGTAGGGTTGTTGGAAGAAAAGGCAGTAGATTGTGAAGAGATGTGGTGTTTTACAGAGTCTTACAGTCTTGACCAGGGAAAGGTTATTTATGACCTTCTGCTCTTCTGTTGCCTTTTGATTTTTTACCTTTTCTACATCCCTTCCTCTCCTGCTTTTTCCCAATACATATCCCTCAGACTCCTGCTATTCCTGGTGCCTATCATTTTGACTACCTCAACCTCATGCTTCATATGCGATTTGACAGGTCATCATTCAGTGAATAAGTATTGATAAACCAAAAAAAAAAAAAAGAAAGCCATATAAAAACCTAATATTGCTTGTGTACTAAAATATTTTGTGTTTTCAGATACAACCCGACCTCCAAAGAAAGATGAAGAAAATGGCAAAAATTACTACTTTGTATCACATGACCAAATGATGCAGGATATATCAAACAATGAGTATTTGGAATATGGCAGCCATGAGGATGCAATGTATGGGACAAAACTGGAAACAATACGAAAGATCCATGAGCAGGGACTAATTGCAATACTTGATGTAGAACCTCAGGTAACTAATTAGAAAACATGTAAAAATGGCACTCATCACAAATCCTTCAACCTAATCATATTGAGATATATTTATTTTTATTGATTGCACACTAGATAAGTAATGTGGAACAAAAGCTCTTGAGCCACCAAGGTATCGATCTGGGAAGTGGAATTCTGGTAATCACCTGGTTGGAAGAACATACAGCAGAAACAAATTCATAGTTTAGCAATCACTATAGCTTGAAAATTTACTTACCATGTAACTTTTTACTATATTGGCCTCATGTCCAGTGAAACATATCAAAACAAGTCATTGTCATTGCCTACCAGGAGTAATGTTTTTAAAAATTTCTCTCTGATGCTTTATGAAAAGGTAATCTTGCTCCTGGCTGACTCTGAACTGCATATCACTATTGAGTACAGACAGAAACATTTGTGGTTAATCACTGATAAACAGGTCGTTAATCCTGTTTGGACAACAACCAGATCAGTGTTGTTACTTTATAAAGTCATTTCTGCATTGTGGCATTTTACTTTCCTAAAGAGGGCAGGAATAAAAATCAGGCTCTCGAGGAACACTAATAGTTTGTTTATCCATTGTATAAAAATCTTCTGTGGAAAATTCTGATACATTTCCTTTGAAACATCCATGTAGTCATTACTTCCAATTCACAGGAATCTGTATATTTTGTTAAATGAAACATCATGAATATGGACAAATGTGATGTTTATATTCTAGCAGGTGGAAGGAAATGGGAGGAAAGATAAAATTGTGACCCATGTTATCTATTTAAATTTGCTAACTTCTTTCTTCATTGTGAATGGATTCAAGAAGTTCAAATTCTTTTAAGATTTTTGTAACAGAGATAAGATACCTGACTAAATTATTTAGGACAGTTCACAGTCTGCTGGTGTGGTGCTGTTCTGAAAAATAAAATCCCACATTTAACAGCGTTCAGGGAAAGCAGCATCTGTAGTTAGTTCAAATGGAACGGCTGTTAACAGCAAACTCTCTTGATAAACCTTTTCAACGTGCATTATTCAAAAGCAGTGCAATTCTCAGAAGCCATTTTAATCTTAGTTAGGATGTATTTACATCTGGTAACAGCTACTTTTGCTGCACTTCCTCCAGCACATGTTTGGCAAGCCTCTTTCCTAACCAGCTTCCTCATTCATCCATCTCAGCTCATTAAGGGCAACCTGTTTGTGGACCTATTCCTGGTTATCTTACACCTCTTGCTGGTTTTCCCTTGGGTGCTCTTAGTTACATGAGTTTTCCTGAATTTTTTCTTGAATTATTTGTTTCAGGGGATTGATGCTGTATTTACTGCATTTAGTGCTATGCTCACTTTTTAAAAACTTCAAACTACTCACATCATACTTTCATTTGTTTAAGAAAATAATAATTAAAAAGTGCTAGTTGATAGAAAAAGTCAGACAAAAAATTATATTCTAATCAATATTCCCTATTTATGGCATGACTGAATATTTTTTACATGGTGTTTAATCAGTAAGTTTAAATGTGAACAGAATTCCACAGTCTTTGAGACTGTATGGCAAGAACCTCTCTGAAAATGCTAAAGCCTTTACTGTCTCATAAATTCACTTTAATTAAGGATAAATATACGTTTTGACCACCAAAAATGCAAAATAATACAAAAAGTTAAGTGTCTGTACTACTAAGGTTTTAACTCCAGTTCAGTTAAAAACAAACCCAGCATTGGTAAGTCATGAATTTGTGTATTTTGCTTGTGTGACTAAACTTACTTCACATTGATTGTTGGGGGTTTCCTCTAAAGTATGTGATTTTTTTTCACCTAGGCATTGAAGGTCCTGAGAACTGCAGAGTTTGCTCCTTTTGTTGTTTTTATTGCTGCACCTACGATTACCCCAGGCATTAATGAGGTATGGCATGTTGCAGTCTGATGTCTTATTAGAGCCAGAATTAAGGATGAGACTCAAATATGCAGATCAGGCCCTTTAGTTGTTTCCTTGTCTGTAAATGGGGAGGCAGAAAGACAGTTGAATGACAGCATTATTAAGTGGATTGAGATACATTTCTTGTTCGTTAACCAATTCAAAATGTGAACTTCAAGTCGAAGGATCCATGTGGTATATTTTAAAGTACATATTCTTTTATTTCATTCCTTGCCCTACCTCACAGATCCATTTCCAAATCCTTGACAAATAATTGGCACAAATTACCCAATTCCAATTCCAGCACTGGATTACTGCTGGTCTGAGCTGAAGAAATGGGTGTTCAGGACTCTGCTGCCATCCCACCTTTAGCTTTAGAATTTTTCCTGCACAGCAAATACATGTCACAAATAGGCTTATTAATTTTGATGACTGTTCTCTGAGAATTGGAAGCTTTGACCAGGGGGGCAATTACTTGTGAAATAATGCTAAGTATTCATGGAGGTCCATAACCTCCATTTCCTACTTAGGTTTTATGGAGTGCCCACTCAGCAGATTGCTACTGATTTCAAAGATGATATCAAGCAATTCTGGATTTAGTTCACAACAGGAAAAACAGTATTTTTGCAAACACTTTATTTGCTTAGCCTTTTTAAAAGCATGATATTAAAATATTTAATCAATTAGATTTGATCATGAACTTATTCCAAGTCTCCCAGATGTTTCCTTGATCATCCAAACATAAAGTCAGAAGCCCTGTCACTACAGCCTGTTTCTGTTGAAATGTAATTACAGTATCATAAGCATGAAATTATGACATCACTGCAGAGGCTTGGAGGAAAATAAGGAACAAGACAAACATATTTAAATGCAAATACCCTGAATGATTATTAAAATAGAAAGTGGAGAGTGAAAAAATTTGGCCTCAAGCTGCAATTTTACTGGCAGCTGAGGCATTCTGCTAGTTCACTATGACCCTTTAGTGGGCTGCTTTAGCTGTAAATTGGATTTTTGTCAGTTTTTAAGCAGCTCACAAAGACTCTGACAAGCACAAATCCAGAAAAGCAGTGAAAGTTTATAGCCAGAAGAAAAATGGGAAGGGGAACAAGCATCTTTTCACTTTTGCAGCATTAAGTTCTGTCATTTTCAGTGTCTTAAGAACCCATAGCCTAACGGGAGCATTTCAAGAGTGTAAAGGCAAAGATCTCTCAGAACATCACAATTTGCCATGTTAGTGAAGTGACAGTTTATGCTGGTGTTGCCATATGATGTACATCAGAATAGTCTTGGTAAAATACTAAAATTTTGTAATCTACAGTGGCTTTGCCTTTGTGTCATCAAATAACATTGCATCAATTAAAAAATAAGATCATTCTTAGGCTCTGTCAAGTGAGCATTGTGTTTACAGCAGCACTCAGGCAGCCAGGTACTCTGTGAAATTGTGTAATTGCCTGGGTTTTTTGCCTCCATAGCTGTGTCTCAGCTCCCAAATAGTCCTCCTTGGCCTCACTCATCTGCCAATGGTACTTAACTTTTAATATCCCTGCTGTAGGATATAATACTGAGATATTGGGGACAGTTCATATGAGGGAGAGAATGTTTTCTGTGAAGCACTGACGACAGAAATGTGCCTTCTATAGTAGTGGTGGGGAAATACATTTTCACGCCAAAGAAATATTAGCAGAAGTATTATGTTATAAATATTTTCATTCCTACTGTAACTCTGTCTTTGTTTTAAGCTTTTGTGACAAAAGTCTCTGTGCATGCAGGGTTTCTTTCACCCAGGCACATGAATTGCTGAACCAAGGCTACACTTATAAACCATGCTAATTTATGAATCAATTAAGGAACAGGAGGGGTAGGCAATGGTAATAGCAGCAGACCTTACCCAAATACAGGATCCTACTTTCCAGTGTTTACTGGGCTGCATGAAAGGAGATTTGCAAACCATGTCTGTGTGTTTGCAGCCTGCAAGGCAGCAGACAAGGGTGAGGAGTGTGTGTTTCCTATTTCCCATTCATGCTTCCTTTTTGAAAGGTTCATTTGCATACTGAGTGTCCCTTTCCATATATCCTCCTGCCCTGCCTTGTTTATTTTGCTTAAGCTTTTTGAGAGCACTTCTGTAAATGACTGTCCTTTTTCACCCTTCCCCTTTATGTTTTCTTAAATTTCATCTTTGCTTTTCTTTTCATTTTCCTGCATTCGTACTAATTGTACATAGCTGCCAAAATGGTGCAGAAAACTGCCTGTAAGTACCAGCTAGGGGCTGACAAGGTAGTTCTTATTATTGCAGTAGTGTTAGAATGTAGATTTGCTGTTCCCATTCAACATTACTTTTGCCAATGGAATAAAAATTTAATATAAAAATGACTTTTGATATCTGCACTAAGATTGTCTGCTAGTAAAAAAAAAAAAAAAAGAAAAAAGAGACTGGAGAGTAAAATTTCTGCTCTTATAGCTGAATATCTGAACTTTGTGGTGAAATCAGTGCAGAGGCCTGATCTTGGATGTATCTCTCTTGAGACACTTTAGCCTATCACAGACCACACAAAATGTCTCAGTAATCAAGGCCCACACAAGAGTTAGGAGATAAAATATTATGCTTTCAATGAATATAGCAATGCACAATGAGCAATGCTGCAAAGCACAAGACCAATTTAAATCCTATAGGATATCTCCCAGAGTGCACCCACCTGTCTAATCACAAAGGAAACTTAAATCAGATGATTGTTGTGCTAAAACAGAGAGAGGAGGGAGCATATCAGAAAACCTCAGGGTAGTTCCTCTCTCCTCCAGCTGTTTCCTACCTCCCATTGCCCAGAGAGCAGCAAAGAGGAGTTGACAGGCTCCACTTATTTGATCTAAATCTTTATTGAGCCAAATTCTTCTGACTTTTAGCTGCGCTCCCTTCCTACAGTGAAAGAGTAGAAGGAATTTTTCTTAGGACATTTGCAGTCCAGCTGTTTAAACTGATTAAATTAATTTCTTTCTGTTGAGGCAAAATTGGCAAAGCCCTGATGGTGTGTTTATACATTGTCCACAGCCTTAGAAAGGAATATTAGAAATTTGTTAGGCTGTGCTTTGACTGTCACAAGCAGCAGCTATTGTCCTGTTTACTTACAGGCCAAAAAAACCCAGTCCTCAGAAACTGAAGATGCCACTGGTGGCCTTTGTGTACATGGGAGACATTTCATGGATAAAGCCATGTTTCACTCCTTTCAGCTGTGGTGCAGAAGGAGAGAGGATGAGGAGAGTGAACTGACTTAGGAAAGCAAAGTTTGCTCCAATAATGCACACACTGCAACCAGACCCACATAAAATGCCCATTGCATGAGAACTGGGGGAAGAAGAAAAGGCAGATGTTGTGCTCACAAATGTTAAATTACTGAAGTTGTGGCCGTTCCTGTGTCTGTCTGCAGAAAGCCAAACATTTTGATAAATATCTTCTTTCTCCAAGCTATTGAGAGCACAACTGCTGAAGAATATTCTTCTTGGAAAATAATCTGAGATATTCAGTATTCAAAATTTAATTAAGAAATTTTAGAGAAATTAAGAGGAGCTTAGTACAGCAAATATTTTAAGTGTTAGCTTTGAAAAATAATCTTGGCATTTGAGTGTTACAGATTCAGATTAAAAAAGAGAGAACTCTGACATGTTCAAATAGATACTCCATCACAGTCACAGGTGATATTTGGTCCCACAATAAAACAATAATCAAGAACTGTAATATCTTCTATTTTTGCAAAACTTGTAAAAGTTTGAAGCTGTTTGAAAATTCTGTAGTGGCCTAACTTATTAGTGCCCCTAGGAGAATATGAAAGAAGTAATGTTTTACATTTCCAACAGGCCAGGAAATTTAGATATTCCAAAATGCAGCACACTTTGGTCCCAGTAAAGTTGGATCTAGGAGAAGCTAAGTCAGAAAAATACTAAAATTTACTGAGTTTTTGAAACATTTTTTAATAAGATGGCTGTAAGTTTTTCAGATTTTACTGTCAGTCTCAGCAAGATAGATGCTCCAGTGAGAAAAGTTCATTCTCATACCTGTAAGTAAAAGTAACATTGATGGGAAATCTGAATAGCAATTAAAAATTTACATATGGACTTAGGAGTTCTGAGGCTTCAAGGGGCTTTTCAGGTACTTGTACCCTTGTACCATGAGATTAAAACTCTTTTCAAAGCGTAATATGATTTTGACAAGACAGGCTTTAAATATAAAATTAATCTTAGCTGGATATGTTTAAAGCACATATTATTAACCTACCTTTGTAGGTTAATTTAAGCAGAAAAGGTTAGATGCTCAGCTGATATAAATTGATGTCTTTTTTGGAATTATGAGAAGCTGGAAGTTCACCCAGCTAGGTTTCTGGCTTGAAGACACTGCGCCATATGAAATGTTCCACAAGAATATTTAATATTGGTATTGATCCATATTGTTCTGTCTGCTAATAGCATAAACTAAATTTGCACACACTGGTATTTTCTACAGAAGTTTCAGGCATTGCTGGAGATGCAGAATGGTCCATACAAGGAACATTCCTTGTACAGAAGTGTGCGTGTGGAGTATTTGTCTGACTTGGAATGAAATTTGCCTCAGGAGAGAAGCAAAACTGTAACTTTAGTACAGAACTTCTCCTCCAGAAGTGCTGGTTTCATTGCTGCAGGAAAAGAGAACTGTCTCAGTGCAGGTTGTTCCCTTCAAAGGACCTGAAAGCTGTTGTTCCACAGCTACTTGTCACGGTAATTAGAAATACTTGGGGAGTTTAAACAGGAACAAAGAAGGTGGAGGGCGTGTCTCTTAGCTGGATAAAATTCTATTCCCATTTCTAGTGAAGAAGCTATGGGCACTGTGTCTGTATCTCCTGCAGCCTAAAACTCTGCTTAGTAAAGTGTGTCCCAGTTAATTGATCAAGTAGAGTGAGCCTATAGATACTACAGGGCAGCAGGAGTCATTTTGCACTGTATCCATCCCAAACCTGTGGGACCAGGAAGAACTTGATGGCTTTCCTATGGCTATTTCAAGGTTCCTGAAAGCAGCAAATATTTTGGTTTGGGTTTTTCTCAGGAAAATTTCAGGGAATTTTCAGTAAGAGAATTCAAATTTAGAAGTGCTGCAGAGCCCTAGGAAGAAGCCTTTTGCATCCAGCTCCCTCAGGCAGGCAGACCTCACTAGCAGAGCCGGTGGCTGCAGCATTTCGAGCTGCACGGAGCCCTGTAGGATACCCACAAAGTAGGATGCAGGTGCTTCTGTGCAGGCATTGACACAGAGCCAAGGTGAGCCCCAGCCTGATGTTGCTCTCTGCCCAGTTCACCTCCAGGACCTCACACTAAGAGGTGCTGGAAACACCCCACTCTGAGATAGGAACCGCAGAGGAGTCATGTGGAGTGAGAACTTCCTTATCAGTAAATGGTTATTAAAGGAAGTAGACCCAGAAGATTGGTGTGGAACAGCAAACATTACCAAAACTGGGAACAGCTGATACCTGACAATATACCCTCTCCTATTTCTTGTGTTCTCACTGGGACATAGGCCCAATAGCTTGTATTTGTGCACTTTGTCCAATTTTTTCATAGATGGTGTCCGTTGCTCATGTCCGTGCTGCTTTCCCAAGCTTCCATCCTCTACCTCGCTTTTTTAACACTAGAGCTGTGTTTTGTCTCAAGTACAACAATAACCAAGTGCTGTTTGAGTGTCAGCGTCCAGAGGGAAGTTGTGCAGTTTCTCCCGTATGACTCCCATAGATGTAGGAGGGGGAGATAAAGCACTTAGACCTCCCTGGGGCTTTTTTGGCCATTTCCTTCTCCGTGAGCAGCAGCTGAGGAGCTGTCGTAGGAGAGCATGAAACGATCCAACTTCTCTCTCTCCCCTTTTGTTTCTCCTGCCCTGCGAACAGGACGAGTCTCTTCAGCGCCTGCAGAAGGAGTCTGAAATCTTACAGAGAACATATGCACACTACTTTGACCTAACAATTATCAACAATGAAATCGATGAGACTATCAGGCACCTGGAGGAAGCCATCGAGCTTGTGTGTACAGCCTCACAGTGGGTCCCGGTCTCCTGGGTCTACTAGAACCGGGCATGAGAGGATTGAGGAAACAAAAAACCAACCTGTCATTACTGGGAACCACCTCATACATGGAAAACCTCTTCGTTACTGACCTTGTGTCAGCAGGTCTTGGCCCCTAGAGACTACCTAGATGTAGTGTGACCTAAAATATAATTATTGTCATGTCTGAATAGATAGGAGGAGGGGGAAAAAAAAAAAAGATGAAACACTAATTTAAAGAGACAGTATCTTTTTTTTAATCATTTCTCCTAAACTTTAATAAAATGTATCTTTAAATATATGTATTATTCAGTCCTTTGGAATGTTATATTTTTGGAAATCATAGCTTTTTATTTCAAGGGCCCCTAAAAACTGCACAAAATAGATGCTGCTTTCTATAATCTATTTTAATAGTAATAATAATATGATTCTGTTACCTTAACTTGGGGGTGGAACACTACATTCTTTTTAGAGTCTGATTTTATGGATTGGAATACTTTGCTTTCCTTTATTTATTTGAAGTAATTAGTCTAGTGGTTACGAAACAAATTCATAAATTTTAAAGGCCTTTTTTCGCCTTTTTTTTTTTTTTTCTCCTAGGGTAGTATTTTTAAGTACTTTTGTGTAACATCCAGATAATGTGATACTGTCTCTTTGAAGAACTCTGTAAAACTTTTAGAAATTTGAAATTGGGTCTTGACTCTTAATGCATGTGGACAGTCGCAAGCGTTCATGCCGTTGGTGTATCTGTGTTGATAAAACCTGTAATCTACAGCAAAGTACATTCCGTTCATGGGAACACGTACCCAAGGGAATAAAGTAAAATATTATTCTGACTTAAGTTGTAAACCTATGCACATCCCTTGCATTTTGGGCAACTTTATAAAAAAAAAAAAAAAAAAAAAAAGAAAAACTGATTTTTATTAATAATAATCATGTAGTGAAATGTGTTTGTAATTTTGTCTCAATTTAATTTGTTGTAAGGTGGGAGGGGGCAATTACTGGTTTCACCATTTCAGATCTGTGTTGTCTGAGAGTATTAACGTTTTAATTCAGTTTAAGCAAAGAAATGCTGATTTTTAATATGTATGTAATTGTTTAAAGATGCACACATTTTAAAAGAAAATACTGTGCAATGAAGAAACCAGTTTAGGCATTGCGATAAACTGACTATTCCAAAAGACTCATCTACAACAGCCCTGTAAATTCCTTTAAAAATGGTAATTGACTCTACAGTCTGACCAATTTTTTTTATTTTAAATATACTTCCTTTTATGTGTTCAACAATTAAATGCTTTTGGGTCCTTCATTTCATCACAGGGAGTTTGAAGAACAAACCAGTGACTTGTGCAGTGAGAAAAATTGTCTTTAAGTCTGTAAGGGAAGCCCTTGTAGGGCACAGGCTGCAAGTCTGTCCGGGGGCTCTGCTCCACCTGGACCAGCACAGGTTCAACAAAGGTAGAATTAGAGCAGACCCAAGTAAGAAAATATAACCATGCATTGACCTGGCACTTTATTTCCCTTCTTCGTGCTCTCGCTGGCCCAGGTGGTTTGCATTTTTAGTGAAAATGGTTAAGGGAAGCAAACATTGACACCTCTTTTTAGGTGTCAGAATATGGTGTTCCTTAAAATGGCTTCTCGTCAGAGCTTGGTTGGCTGTGCTGTTGTATAGTATGAAGTTTAGTGTTTGTTTTAAAATGATACAGTGTTCTAAAGGGATTTATACTCAGAGTGGAACTATCAGCTGTAGTGGATCCATGGGCTGTTCCAGCTGCCTGGGTTGTAATCAGAACAGGTTCTCATGGTTGAACATTTATAATAGGGGTAATTCTTGCTAATTTTTTCCTGCCTACTCCTTCTGTAGGTCAGGTGGTCAAATCCCTATTCTTGTAAAATCCATAGGTAGAATCTAGATCTGGCCAGGCATCCTCCCATCCAGCCAGGGCAGGCAAGTTTCTATTTTGAGCTGCATTCACAGCCCAACTTGCAGCCCACGGTGCAGAAGGGAGCTTGATCCATCATTTTACCCCACCTGCTGAACCAGCTGGAATCACAGGGCTGGGGCTGTGTCCCAAAACCAGAACTGTAACTGAATCCCTTGAGTTTGTAATTTTGTGGTAACTAACCCCTGAGAAACTATCGGCGTGGGCCTCGATAAGCAAGAGGGAACCTATCAGAGTAATAGTAGGTGCTCATCTGTTCTGAATTTAGCCCCTGAAAAAGGGGATAGTGCAAACTGTGAACTATTTAGTGAGTAAGAGGTAATTTTCCAAGTAGTTGTGCTGTGTTGTTTTAGTCCTGGATGAACCTTAGCCAGTGTTCCTGTAGGACCAGCTGTTGCAATGTTAATATTACACACTAGCTGAGCTCATCGAAGGTTCATTCACTCTCAGAACTACCTCTTTTCCCAGTAAAGCACAAAGATGGGAAGACCTACTGAAAATCAAGCAGTGGAGTGTTTCTGATGTTAGAAATACAAACTTCTCTGGTGAGCATTGGTATCTGACTTCAGTGACACGTTTTTCATCTCAAAATGTTTATGACATTAAACAGGTAAAGTAATTTTGATAATTCGAGTACAGTCCATCATAAATGTTTTAACTACACACTTTTGACTCTGTTAATGTGAATTTCTTGGAGTTTCTGTGTATCCAGCTTGTAAGGAAAGAAAACTCATAAGGCCCATGAGGGTGCTTCTGCCTTATGTAGATGACAATAAGTAGTGATTTAATGTAACTAATACGCTTTTCTTCTCTTAAGTGGAGCTACCATTCAGTTAATATTACACAGTAGAAAGACTGACTTGGAGAGCTTTGTTTCTTTTTTCTCACTGTATAACCTTTTATCAAGAGACAAAAACTGTAAAGCACATCAGTTAGCATCATGTCCTGCCTCCTCTTTACCACAGACTGTTTTCCTTTTAGGAACCTTCAGTAGCAAAAGATTAACATGGATTAACCCCCCCTAGGCTTTAAGTTCAGCTAATCCACACAACCCAGTGAGCTCCATGAGCAGGTTTCAGCACAGAGCAAGCCCAGGACTCCACGTTCTGCCCGATCCTCCTGCCCTGCCCAAACCCTTCTGAAGCATCTCTGTTGTTTGTGTGCTACGTAGAGGGCATAAATTCAGCTGGAAGCCTCACTTGCATAGGGAAGACACATGCAGGTGCAGAGCTAATGTTACAGTTTTTTATTTTTTTTCAATCTCCAACTGGAGAAGGGTCCTCCTAGTACTGTAAATATCACTGCATAATTTAGAGCGCCTCTCGGACTTCTCTAAATTTATGCTGAATGTGACCTCAGAAGCAGCCCTGGGATTGGGAAGAAACTAATGTTTCTGTTTGCCCCTTTTATACTTTATTTTTGTACAGGGGCTCGTAGATTTGTAAAGAAAACTTGATCTTATCAGTATGCTGCCTCTCAGTCTGACTGATGCCTGTGATTTCAAGGTGTTAAGTTGGTCCAATAAATGTTCGTTAACCTCTGCTTCCATTTACTTAATAAAAGTACACTAGGTTATTCAATGTCTCGGAGTGGTAAGATTATTGCATGGAAATGGTAACCTAGTTTAGACAATCCTGGCCATGCAACCCACAGCATGCAACTATTTAAAATCAGAGGGACATTTTTAATCTCACCACCAGATGTGAATTCTTCCATATGTCTTTGCATTGGTTTTCTTCTCATATGGTCTGGGTCAAGAAAAATGCTGTGCCACTTAAGTGAAAGTATCACTACCTACCTCAGAAACTTCATTAACAAGGTTACTCAGTTGATTTTAAAAGGACAACATAGAAGATGAGGTTGTTGCAGCCTGAGCAGCATTGAGCTGGTGTGTGTGCTCCAAGAACTGGATACTTGAGCCATTAGGAAAAGTTAAAATACAGACTAACCAGTATTTGTTCCATTTTTGTTCTTTTCTGCAAGGAAATCATTTCAGAGCGCTGTTGTTTAAAGAATTACTTGGAAATGCTGCCAGAGCCAAGGGGTTGTTTTGTAAATCTGTGGTACTCAACATCTTAAATGAAGGCACTTAGAACTCGATTTTGGGCTTTAAAATACTTGGAAGAAGAGGATTTGTGAGAAGTACAGAAAAAGACATATCTCTACTGACTTGAGTAAGAGTCATCTGTTTTTATAAGCTAAATTGACAGAGGATGAGCTGAATCAAGTGTCATAAAAAGTCTGCTTTCTTTATCTAAAGCATATTTATTTCCTTAATAAACCTGTCTCTCAGACTGGTTTCTTCACTACTTTTGTTGAGCTAAGAGATATTCATAACTCTTAGCAAGGAAACTGCTGTACATCATTTCAGACAGTCACATATAAATTAAAATATCTGCACAACAGAAAAGACATCATCAAAGTATTCAAAAGTAACTTCTGAATGACTGTGCCTTGTGTCCATACTGTGAGGAGGAGTGCACAAACATTAAGTTAGAGGAGAGTGTATTTTTGCTAATGCTACACAAAAAATGCAAAGCCACTTCAAACATTTAAACGTTTACAGTGGTTTGGGTCTTTTTTTCACTTGTTGATACACATAGTAGCTGCACCTATAATAATTTTTACTTTCTTCTCTTTAAGTGATTTTTAGCAGTCTCCTGCTCCAGTTCTGTGAAAGCTGGACTGAAGCAAGTACAGGGGCTTCTTCTTATAATTGAGCCTCAGAGTTAGAGGCTTTTAAAAGCCTCTTTTCCGGACCTGTACATAAATAATTCTTTTTTTACCTCAGGAATATGTTTCTCAGTTAAGATTTTGGACAGAAAGCTGATTATTTTTCATGTCATCTTAACCTTTCTAAGCAAAAATAAGGGCAGGGGTGGGGGGCATATACAAATGTCCATGTATCCTGCTATATCTCTCCTTAGCAACTGCCATGGGATGATCAGGAACAAGAACATTAAATCTGGCCACATCTCTACCGTATATTCTTATGATTGCTGTGTAACTTGAGCCTGGGTTTGTGCTGTGGAAGATGACTGAACTGGTAGCACATTCCCTGCTGTATCCTTGAAAGAGTTCACGTTGAGTAATGCACAGCAATACTCGCAGATTTTCCCCTCAGTAGCCATAGCTATTTTCACTGTCTGCATAAGGAAAATAGCCATGAGGAAAGGAGGAATTTGCTTGTTTTTAGTGTAACTCATCTCGAAGCCACAGCATGGGTCTGTGTTTCTCTATTGCCAGCCATACAGATGGAGCCTTCACCATTTTTCACAGAATTGTCAGGGTGATGGGCAATGTCCTGAAAATATCAGGGATAACGTGATTGTGCTGACTGTCACAGTTAACTGACTGCAATTTATAAAAACTGGAATTTGTCAAAACCATGACTAGGGTTTTAACAGAGAGACACAGCAGAGTGGGAAGAACTCCATGGTGTGAGCCCTGCTGACACCAGACCTGCTTAGGGACTAATTCACTGAACACAGGAAATTTAAGGAGAGCAAAATAGCAGAATTGGCTCATACTTGGGTACATCTTTGTTTAACTGAGGGGGGAGAGCAGGTGACATCACACCCAGAAACTTGATTTTGAGGTGTGTTTTTCTACCAGTCAGAAAACATGCTTTAAAAGTCTGTATTACTTAGCATCCTTCTTACAAAAGGTCTTTGAAGATTCATATCCATTGTAGCCAAAGGGAGAGGTGGAGTAAGAGATCAATGAATTATTTTATAGAATATTTTGTCTTAATGAGCAGTAAACATTGCAGGTTACAAGGATGCTACAGCACATAGTACTGAATGCTGAAGAATCCACCCCAGGCTTACACGGAAATTAAATTTTTAAATCTCAGTCATTTTTCACTAAATTCAACTATTTCAATGTCTAGGCACCTCCTTACTCTGCCTTACAGCCATTTTTGTTGGATGGATATAACAAAAGCAACAGCTCTGTGTCAAAACCATAAGCCAGTAAAGATTATTGGCTAATAAATCAGTAAAGATTTATGAAGTTATCCGGTAGGTGAAAGAAGATAAATGGAAAACAATGTTGTGGAATTAATTATGAAAACTTTCAAAACTTTTTTTTCATTTATTATTAGGAAAAAAATGCATACAGATAAACTCTGTAATGAATAAAAAACAGATTTGTCTCCAAAATTTGCAAGTTAGCTAATTGTGATGACTCTCCTGAAGTAAAATATTCTGGATTTCCACTCATCAGAATAAGCATTTCAGTAAAGCCTTTGCAATATTTCCCAAGTGTTAGGGAAGGAAGAGGAGAGAGATCCTGCCTCCAGGAAAACACCTTGTTGATTTTAGCAGCTTGAGCAGCTGCCCC